ACATGATTTATGCAAGACATAAGTAAAAGAGACAAGTTGACATAGATAATAGAAAGATAAATATGTGTACCCCTCCATCAGGTCACGCTACATGGGCTATGGCTTCCTCCAAACCAGACATCCTCCTCATCCTCCTGCAGAAGCTGATGGAGGAAGGGAACATGCTTTACAAGGTATTATAGATTGTTGTAGACGGTGAGAATGTGGCAAACTTTGCTGCATTTCTTTTTAATAGACTTCAAACAAGGTGTTTTTGTGGATTGGTTGTCAGAAGCTGTCTTCCCTTATCATCTGTTTCTTTCTCGCTGTCTTGCTGTGTGTTTTTCAGAAGGGACGTATGAAGGAGGCAGGCCAGCGTTATCAGTATGCCCTGAGGAAGCTACCTCGTGAGGGGCAAGGAGACGAGCTGAAAGGGCTCAAAGAGCTGCGGGTCTCCCTCTATCTAAACCTCTCCCGCTGCCGCAGGAAAACCAATGTAAGGCCCCTGCTGTAACAAACTGCTCATGCACTATTTAACACCGGCAGGTTTATTAGACGCTGAGGGAATGGCAGGAGGGCTGGCAAGGCAAGATAGATGGTTCCTTAAGATATATAATTTATCCTTATAAACAGCAAAAGATAATGTCAGCAAGGGTTTAGCTCACAGTAAAAATACCTCTGCTTTTCAGATCTAATTTCAAGTCCCCTGGTAAACAGGATGTACGCGAAAGACCTGCAGGTGGTGACATAATGAGTAACCGTGTGCTGTTAGTGAAGAGATAGATGTGTGTGGCCTGCAGCCACGTTTGGATCCCACCCCAGTGATGACAGACGTCCTAACAGACTGTGTAAAAATGCCATGCTTAGGGTCACTGTGGCCGATGAATAATGGAGCAGATAATGTGATGTGATAAGGTCACCCTCCCTGGCCAAACAAGCGCACTCTCCTTCTCTGCGTCTCAACAGGGGTTATTTACAGTGGGTGTGCTAGTTGGCTGGCTAACTCCACGTATTATAACAGAATACATGCAGTAAGGGCCAGCAGAGAGAGCACATGATACCGTCATTAAACATTCAGCAGCAATGTTCACAATCTCCCATTCAAGGCAACCATTTTGACCTCACTCTCAAGGACAGAATCGCAATGTGTACGTGTCAATATTCACCTGATGATGAGAGCGGTAGAAGAAATAAGAAATACAGCAGCTCTCTGTCTGTTTTGTTTTCTGCTCAATAATAATGATTGCAGCGTGAGTTCTGTTTCATTAAACAAGCTTCGATATTTATATAATGAAGATGCAAACCCTAACACTATTTTTATTGGATTGGCCCTTAGAGCTTTTCTGCAAAACAAACACTTTAAAGTCTAACCACTGATCATCATGCAGTGGGTACGTTTGGGCTGCATCTGATACTAAGTGTACTTTTCTATCTGAAAACAGGATTTTGGGATAGCAGAGGAGTTTGCCACAAAAGCCCTGGAACTCAAACCCCGGTCTTATGAAGCGTATTATGCCAGAGCACGTGCCAAGAGGAGTAGCAGGTACAAACAAATTCAATATAAAGTATATTACTTCAAAGCTGCTCAATTGAAAGTTAGCAATTCACTGGGATGCTACTCTCTGTGGCAGTGAACATGAAGTCTTTTTAAAGTGCCTTTGTTCCCTTTCCCTGTCCTCCCCAGGCAGTTTGCTGCAGCGCTGGCAGACCTCCACGAAGCAGCACGACTCTCGCCGTCCAACCGGGAGATCAGGCGCCTGCTGGTCCGGGTAGAAGAGGAATGCAAACATCATCAGAAGGCGTGCAGCAACAACATGGCACAGGGTTACAACAGGGACCCTCACACCCACCACCATCAAACCCCAGAGGAAGAGGCAGACGTCTATTCGCAGGGAAGCCTTGAGAGGCAAGTCCCTGCGGAGCACACTGATACCGAGAGGGAGGAGGACAAGGACGACGAGGAGGAAGCCAGCTTGCAGTGTGGAAAAAGTCCTGAGTTTTGGCTCCTGAATCCGTACGCTCCCAACAGGATCCTCCCTGGAGGCGTGGCCTTTGGTTTATCAGATCAGCCGCCATGTTTCCCTCAAGAGGAATATGTGCAGAACCAACTGTTTGTGGAGTTGCCCGAGCCCGTTTCTGCTCTGAACAGACAGAGCCAGGGCCTCAGCAGGACTCATCACCACTGCCACTCTCTCCAGACAGGCGGCCGGGTCGGGGGCCGGCCTCTCTCTCTGTGCGGTCCCTCCAGTCCGCTGCCAGGCAGACATATGTCCGCTTCCCTGAGGCCGGCCCCCGTGCTCGGTATTGACATCGGCCATGGATTAGCCAATGAACACCCGGGACACAGCCCCACTGAGCTCTATCACCCCATGTCTCCCAACAGCTCCTCCCCACCCGGGCCCCTCCATATGTACCAGCCCCGCTCCTCCAGCTTCTCCAGGGGCTCGGACAGACTGTCCACCCACTCTGTGGCTCTGGACGGCCTGGCTCTCGCCCTGGGGGCCGGTATGGAGGTCAGGAGGGAGGGTGGGGGAGGAACAGCGGGCTCAAGGGGGTCCAGCTCCAGCCAGGCCTCCAGTGGGAACCTGTCAGACGGCGGCAGGCAGCAGGTGGTGGACGCCCCCTGCCCCCTCAAGAGTAGCGGGAGCTTCAAGACCAAACCTGAGCTGAAGCCCCGCCCCTTCATGGGAGTGATGGACAAATCAGTGCGAGTCCAGGGCCAGCAGACCTCTGGCCCGAGCCGACAGGGAGGAGGGATGGAGGGTCTCAGTATGTCAGTCATGGAGTTTCAAGGGTTGAGCAATGAGTTCAAACGCGCTTCATTCCAGGAGCAGCAGAGCCGGGAGTTTGGGGAGCGGATCCTCCAGCGAGAGTCCAGAGTCAGCGCGTCCTCGCAGCTCCGCTTCCCCGACGGGAGGCACAGACAGGCCAGCCTCACCAGAGACAACCCCGCTCTGCATATGGCGCCCATCAAACCCAAACGCTCGTTTATAGAGTCCAACGTGTGAATTGACTTTATCAAAGCACAGGTGTTCAACAAACTTTGTCCCACATAAGGTAGCAAGGGAGCTAGCTGAGGCGCTCCCTTCCTTGGTGAGCCTGTTTTGTAGAGTTATGCTGCTGAACTGCATTTACAATCTAGAACCAGTGTTCAACTCAGGCTACTACGCTTCTGCTTACATGTCTACAGCTACACTAGTGTATACAAGAAAACCAGACATACCTTAAGTAGGGATTTAAAAAAAAAGTAATATATTGTCTTAACTTTTCATTTATTATAACAAATATAGAAGTCAGAGAAAGCTTTTGTGCACGAATATTAAAAAAAAAACCTCATGCTATTAGTTGCAGGATATGACCATTTCTATCGTCAAGTGTATTTTAAAAAACATTTATATTTGTACGGTGTACACTATATTTGCAGATTATATATTTCCCTGTAAGTGGTTATCCGTCAGCATTACAGGCTTGAAAAGAAATTACTTTGTGTGCTTGAGATTCTTTTTCTTGGTACATTTGATAAAAGATGAGCTGTACGACTATAGTCATAATCTAATATTGAATTGATTGCTTCAATATTCACAGTATATGTAATTTATTTTTGCATAGCAGAGAACATATTCATAATAAGTGTTTATTGCTTTATTTGGACAAAGAGCGAGAGCGTTTACACAAGCAGTCAAGGAAACAGTCGAGGATAGAACATATTAAGACTGTGTACATTGCTGTATGTCCATAGTTGTCATATACCCTTTTCTGAGTCAGACTATGGATTACAGAATGTTACCACATTATCATTGTGGTATAATAAAATCTTAATGGAGGACTTCATTTCTACATCTACTTTTTTCACAGTGTAATCCATAAAATGCTCCCAGAGCTTCAGAGTGGGTATGGATAGATACAAATATAGAACAACCCAACTTATCTCAATTGGGTTGTTTTTTTGCACAGGAAAGTAAATCATGACATACTTATCCAGTAGGGTTTGTAATAACCAGGGTCCTGTGATGAAAATCTAAAAAAACATATGATATGTTATGTGTTACTGCAAAGAGACTGAAGTATTGGCAAGTATTGTTTTTGAAGGAGTTGGCGGATTTAGCCTTAGATGAAAGGCTAGTGAAAATCAAACCTGCAATAGCAGATTTGTTGGCCTCTAGGGGGCAGCAGAAAATACGTTATGAGCACAACATTGACATATGATCACATTTAAAGTTAATATGAACTTGCTTATTTACACATACAGTGATTACAGAGCAACATTAGCATTTGTGTTTGTAGCCACCAGATGAATGTACGTCCAATATTCACTTTATTTTCAGCTCTGTATTTGGTCTCTACCAACTCCTGCTTAATGTTCCAGTGTGTTCAGCAGCTAGTAGCGAACTCGTAGTAGTTTGGGGCTGATCGGTCTTCAGTGTTTCAGTGCTGAAAACAATACTATAAGAGTGTTGAGAGCAGTGGCGGCGCCAGGGTATGGCTGGGGTAGGCTACAGCCATACCAAGAAATGGCTTAGCCCCACCATGAAAAGTGATGCAAATTCAATTAAATAATAAGCGAAATGCTAAATGTTGAGAACACGGATTGCGAAAATATACGGGTCGTGTCCACAGCACACAAACTGATCCTGCTGTAACAACAAGTGCACGTTACTGATGCAATATGGTTGAGACCATTCGGGCTTATGCTATAAGAGGGGTGCAAGGAATAGTCCAAGTAGTGGGGGAGTTTTATACACTAAAGGTGTGGAAATTCTCTGGCGTTATAATATCAGCGCGGCCGCGGTCAGATCAAAATGCCTCCGAATGCAATTTGAATATACCTACAGCCAATCAGAGCAACGCAACGTTGGATCTGCGTCATGCCTTATTGATTGAGATCAATCGAAACCGCCATTCAGTATCCCCATTGGATCTTCAACGTGTACTATCATACGTCACGTGCACAGTGATCCCTTTTACTACAAGACAAATGTGCCGTTTTATTTCATACAGTTCCATTTTGATTGAGACAGGGAAATAATCTAAACCTCACGCGTGGCGTTTCACTGTCAAGGGGGGCAATATAGCGTGTATGTAATTACATTGCAAATACTGACTTGAGCACCACCACTGTATGGGTTAGCCCTACCATAGATTAGCCAACAAAAATGCTCTGGCGCCGCCACTAGTTGAGAGAGATCGAAAACAACAACGTTTCCAGCTAAAATGATCTATAAAGCTTTGTTATTATTTAACCTTGCGTTCCTCAGGTGGCCAGAAGCAGTGCTACCCTGTGACTCTCATATTGCTCTGTACTAACTTTAGGTGTTATGGAAATTCAAACTAAATAAGCACAAAGAACATTTAGACCTGTTGATTTGATTTTGCTTCACAGTTAGCTTTATAAATGAATGCAAACAAAAAACTCTAACAGTATGTAGATGCCTTGAATGCAACACAATGAATCTGATGCACCTGTTCCTGAAATGCCTTGGACTCCTGTCTACTGTGGGGAAGATATTTGGGGTACTGTGGGTCAGAGGTCTTTCAGATGCTAGCGGCTTGTCTGCCAGCGGCCGATAGCCATTTTCAGGGTGTGATTAGGGGTGAGCAGGGTGGTCAAGAGGGGGAGGTTGGTCATGGGGCTGGACCGGTTCTTAGTGTTGATCCAGCTTTCAATGGCCTCTCTTTCATACGAGTATCCATCTGTTGAGAAACGTCCACACTAAAATTACACAAAGAAATACAGGCTAATCTGTTCAGACTGAAGAAACCAAAAACGTTGGAGTCTAATGGACTGAATCCAATTTATATGCGTGTAATTATTTGTAAATTGTGTTAACGGGAAAAGGTCTCATTGTCGTTTACCGGCAGCAATGACTGGTTCCCTCATCAGCTCTCTGGTGATGGGACACAGGAACTCATCAGGAATGCCTGAACACACGGAATCACTCTTCAGCTCCTCCACCTTCCTCAGGAGTTTACTGCGCAGGCCTACTGACTCTATACACACACACACACACACACGCACACACACACACACACACACACACACACACACGCACAGCAATAGAATAATAGAATAAGGAAATGTGCCAGAAGAGAAAACAGACGATCAAGACTTTGTGTCCTCTCATTAACATAGAAATCACTGGAGTCTCAAGAAGAACAAGCTGAACTGACCCGCTCACTAATATATACAATACATTCTATATCAGAGCATTTATTATTCCTGTGTTTAACACTTTTCACTCTTGGATGGCAAATGTGAGCGTGGGTGAGAGAACATGGTGGGAGTAGATCATCTCGTCTCCTGACTGTCTGTCCGTATCAAAGTTAAAATCTAAGCAAGCACTCGAATGCATTTTACTTCCGAATACTGTTGAGAAAATCGGTTGAAATTAGTAGCTTTTCTTTCAAAATGAATAACATGATTATGACAGTTGAACACAAAGCCCTCCCTGATTGCCCTATTGGTACACTGGGTTTCACTTTGTTATGGTTCCTCTTCAGGAGGAAACAAATACATTGATTTGCAAAGATATAAATGTGTCTCCGTCTTAAACCCGTTGCTACTCGATGCTGTTCTCCAAGTTCCCCAGCAGTCAGAGCACTGAAGCTGTTAAACTGAGGAGTGATTGACAGGCACTGTGGGATGGAAATGAAGGCATGGAAATAAAATAAACATTTGACAACTAAATGACGAGTACCGGCCTAACTGGTAGACTGACATCAACAACATAAAACTTCGACTTGTGGTTGCAAATCTTGCAGGAGAAAGGAAGCTATTAAAATAGCTTTTAAAAGTCACAAAGATTCCTTCATGTCAGACACACTTGAAAATACCCAAGAAGGCCTAATGACACTAGGCTTAAACCCACTTTATGGAAAACACAGTTTTGGGTTATGTAACTGGAGAAGTGCTCCAGATTAAAGTCAGGACTGCTGAAGCCCCAGAGCTGAATACTTTTACTGGGCTGCCTAATATTATGTAATCTTGCTGACTAAAACCCCATCAACGTTCACTCAGTCCTCCACCCTTACTTTAATTTAATGAGCTGACTTGTATCCGTGTAAATAGGTACAAAAATCCTAATCCACACACGTCCATGTTCATGCTCACAGAAGAGCAGGCGTGTAATACCTTTAAGACTAGGTTTATATTCTTACATGTGGACATAAGCGAGCTTTAGGACTGTGACAGCACGAGGGGCCGAGGCAGTATCGCTCCAGCTGTGTGTGTGTGAGGATCCCCCCAACCCCCCCCCCCCCCCCCCCTCACCTATGTGCAGCTCTGACGCCAGCGTTTCCTTGGTGAGACTGAGCAGCTCTGTCCCATCAATGTTGTTGGCCCTGAATCTGTCCACCAATCCCTCGAGGCCTTCCTCCACCAGCCACGCTGACACATCCCCCTCCGACCAATCGCTGACCAGCAGCCTGGATCGGCCCGCTGAGGTTCTCCCTGAGAAGTGAGTCAAAGGCAGACGCTCAGTCCTAGTGGGCTGTAGCATGCTTTGTAAAGTGGCCAAGATTCTCCGTGCAACACTATCCTGGAATCCTGCTGACTATGTATTGATTAGGGGGGCTGGGTCTTGTGTAAAGATAAAAACAATTGTCTGGAGGTTTCATCGACTTTGTCATTGACACAAGATGAAACAAAGATGTGAAAAGTAAGTTGTACATTGCACACGGAATCGCACCTACCAGCAAACACATGACTATTCCATATTATGAGCAAGTTATTTTTGTTTTTGTGCACATAATACACAAGTGTTGCCTCATTTAGTGACTTTTACAGATTCCAGGCACCCAAGTGTGACGAAATATAAACAAATATTTTCTTCCTTCTTACCTTCACTTGATGGCAAAGCAGACAGCTCTGAAACACAAAAAGAAAGGAGTAAGTAACTGTCAACATGAGCAATGAAATGTAATCATTGAGACTGAATAGTCATTAGGAAAAAGAGAGCGCAACAACACCTGTGTCCTTCACCACACAAATGAAACCAATTTACCTCATGACTTCTCCAAAGCTAGAAACTCTGCTAAAGACTGAACTAGTCTGTAAATGTTGCATGGTAAAAGCCGCTCTCTCTCTTTCTTACAAGTGTCACGTGTAAAGGATAATAAATATTTAAAATAAAACTTACCAGGCAACGACTTCCCGCCTTTCCAATGGTCACGATGTGCAGGATAGGAGACAGACACAAAAATAAGTTAAAAGACAAAACTAATGTATATAGATATTACTCTAATGGAGAGATGTGTGTTCTTCCCACCTCGGTCACTGCACCCGTCCTCCAGCCTCCAGATGTTTACAGTCTTATCCATAGACCCCGTAGCAATGAGCGGTGAGGTCGGGGAGAAGCAGCATGCCGTCACCAGCCTGCAGCAGAGGACAGTCATCACCTGTAGGATGGTCTGAGCAATAAGGTGTAACTTCCTCTATTATAGTAAAGGCCGTCTATCAAATATGGAATATCAAATATCTTATTCCTTAGATTTCAATTAAAGACCAGTAATGGGAAACTTGGAGAAACAAAAAAACACATGAAACCTTTAAATGAAAGTTGTAAGAAGAAACTTTGAAAAGTGATTCTGTGAACATTAGACACTGAAGCAGTTCTATTCAAATGCCCGCCATTAGAGTCCCAATTCGGTGATGGCATACCAAGGGCTCCCCGTCAAATGAAACCTAAAACTAAAAGATCTGAATACAAATTCAAATAGATTTCCAGCAGATTCAAGAAAGTCAAAGCAACGTTAATCAAGACAATCTCTCTGAAACCTTAGCGGGATTGCTCAGAAGTGTTAATTCACAAAAAGTGAGTTTACTTCAATCAATGCGATTTAAGAATTTAGAGAAAGGCATACTTTGGCAATGTTTTATTACCACTAAAGTGAAAGGACTTTCCTGAATGCATTTTGTCAAATGATATGATGTGCTTCTTGTTTGCCATTCATCCACTTTCTCTCAACTTGCCTCATCTACTTCCACTTCAGTTAGTGATTTCAAAATGACTTTCATTTGCCCCACTGAAAGGAAGAGAGCGTTCTGCCTTTCAATCACAGGTGGCTCACTGGACTTAAATAGCTGGTAAGTGTGATCATTCAGCCGTGGCTTATATGTACGGTGTGTGCATGTGTGAGGGTAGTGAGAGACACAGGGACAGCAGGCTTACCTTTTGATACAAATGCTAAATGCATGTTTTGTGATCACACTGGGTCAATATCTATTAGGTGTTGTCTGTTCCTTCCCTAAAAGTCAGATCTAGTTGTAAATGAGAGGTCGAAAACTAAAATGTACCGCTTATGTTCATAAAACTGAACAATTTGATTATCTTACAGGTTATTATACTCCTCCAGATATTTCAAAAACTAAATAATTCCAGGAATGCCTTGCAAAGCATCTTGCTGTGGATGTTCTTCTCCAGAGATTGTGTTTGTATGTAAACACAAGAGTAGGTTAGTACACTCAGACGTGTCAAATACATTTGTATATTCTATAATTAAGAAAATCCACAACATAATTGAACCACATTCATGTAAGTATTTACCTCTCGTGCTGGTTCAGTGTGTACAGCAACATTGCATTTTTCTGCAATCAGATAAAGTAAGTGTTATGCAAAAAAGAAATAAAACAGTTTGTTATAAATGGAGCATGCACAAGTTGGACTATAAAATAAATCAATCTAAAAGGAGAGTTACTTACAGCATCATAGATTGCAACAGTTTTGTCCACAGAGCTGAAAGAAAAGAGATAAAAGTGTGAGCAGTATTTAAAAAAATATGATAAACCTTTGGTACTGCATGTTCAGATCCACATTCACTCCATGAGGAATAAAGCAAACCACGTCGCCCCCCAGTGTTCGCTCTGTATACTGCACTCTTAAAGCTGATGCGGTTGGCCTACTTAAAGGTCCAGGCACAAAATGAATATTTTACATCACTCCCTTGATCCTAAATGCATCAAGACATGGACAGTGATCTACACAAGATCAAGAGATTGAAGTGAAATATACATTTAGCGTATGGTTTACTATTACAACAGTTAGAAATATGTACATGTGTCTGTTTAAGACCCATCAAATACAATTTGTGTATAATTTACACTTCTGCTGACAGTTTCTCAAAGTTACCAAAATATTTGTAGGTTTTATCTCAAATTCCCGGCCTCCATTGGTAGAAAATGTATCTGATACTTGCATCTCATCAGAGAGAATATTATGTCAGATTTTTCCCACAGTTGTGTTATTATTTTGTGATAATGTCTGCTCTGGTAAAGACAAACAGGGGGGGGGAGAAGTACTCAGATCTTATACTTAAGTCAAAGTAGAAGTACCAGTGTGTAGGAATACTCTGTTACAAGTAAAAGTCCTGCAATCAAAAGGTTACTCAAGTAAAAGTACACATTCTGCAGATTGGCCCATTTCAGAATAATATATATTATATATTTTGATTATAATTCTTGATGTATTAATGTGTTTATCAAGCTGGTAAACTCATGCCATGGTGGAACTCATTTTAATTACATAATTTACTGCTGGGTAGCATGTGAAATTAATCCAGGTGTAACTAAAGTCATATTTAAATGTTGATTATATTGTGTATCATCTATTAATTATTAATTGATATCTGTAAAGTAACTTAAGGTACTTCACAAATGTAGTGGAGTAAAAGTACACTATTAACCTCTGGATTGCAGTGGATTAGAAATACAAACATAACATAAAATGGAAATACTCAAGTACCTCAAAATTGTACTTAAGTGCAGTACTTGAGTAAATATACTTAGTTACTTCCCACCTCTGAAGACAGAACATATCAAAACAAAGAGCATAAGATTTGAGAAATGGTAAATCATTAATGTGTGCAAACATATGAAGTCACCAAAACGCTTCTAGAACATTCTTAAAGATCCTACCCAGACACCAGCAGCTGTCCGTCTGAGGAGAACGCACAGCAGAGGACTGGAGCTGATTGGCCCGTCAACGTGTGCAGGAGCTGCATCTTATAGCCTGCAAGAGAGGGGGGGGGGGGGGGGGGGGGGGGGGGGAACTGTAGTTACACACAACTGGGTCAGATAACCCCCACCCAACTGACACCAAGCTCACCAGTAGGTAAGGGATAATGTGCAGCGAGGCGGTCATTATTGGAGAAATAATTGTTGTTTTCTGTGACTGTCCTAGTCTGCTCACAGTTTATACCGTGTTCCCTTAGTGTTTACTTCCTGTCTCCTTCTGTTGATTTATCTGACGTGCAGTGCCGTCTCTCTCTTGATCCCCCTTAGCAACGGGTAATATAGTGCTTAACAGTGGTCTATACTGCTGTCATATTGACTTCTGAAATGTCCGAATTTACAAATCAGGATCGAGTATTCAACTAAGCCATGTAATAAGCCATAGAGGTAGGAACGTTTTATATGAAGACTGTGTTCTGCTATTGGTCACAATAATTGTTAGCTTGATAAACAGACCCCTCCCCACACACACACAATGATACAGTTGAAAAAGGAAACATTGGTCAGATATAAAAATAAAATACAACAGGAGTGCAGAACATTTAGAAAATGTTATATGCTTAATTTTTGGTCATATAAAAGCACTTAATAGCATCAGAAACTTCTGAAAGAAGCTTGTACTGGCAGCTATCGAAATAATAATATGTCTTGAAATAGTGATGCTGGTATATTACAAAGCCGTTACACGAATAATTGTTATTTCCTCTGAGAGCTCTAATCTGAGGGAATTTTGTTGAACTGCACACATCTATATTTAGCCTCACACTCTTCTGTCTGACAACGTAACAGTGAAATCCTGCCTTCATGGCGGCACTTGTTAACTATATACCTCGTTCGCAACACAGGAACATTGTTCATGGAAAACCAAGGTCAACTCTCTGAGCTGATAACGATTGGACGTTGTAATTATGGCAGAAACGATCATGTGAGCTAAAGAGATCCTCCTGGTGTGCAAAGATATGTAAAGATATGTGAGGATGTGTCATTCTACCTCCACAGCCGGACTTGTTAACAGCCCAGATCTTCAGGTGACTGTCCTGCCCACAGGAAGCCAGACAAAACTGTACAGACTGACCACCTGGAAAGACAATAAAAACAAATATTCAAAAATCACAGACTCAATTTTTCACTAACAACTATCAGTCGGTTGATTTGATTCTTCCCTACAGTGAAATAAGACTGGCTCATGCGAGATATAGTGAGGTTAGAATATATGTTAACAGATATGCATAATTAACTGTATGTACAGATTACCTTTATTCTTCTTAATAACAATTATATTTTCATTTTTTTGTAGTTATTCATATTCATTTAGTTTCTGGTAAAGTTCAATTTGAATTCAAAATGAAATGGTAATGTTTTTTTAAATGTGTTTTTAATGAGATATTTGACTGTTTAACAGTAAAATATCCTGCCCCTGTACCCTGTATTAGTTTCTTCAATAATCAGATAGGAGGAATTCTTGCTGGGTTAAGTTTATGCAAAAAATGAGTATTAACCAAAACTAAATTCCTGTTTAATTGTTATGAATCCGTTACTTTCTCACCACTGAGGATGCTGGGAGCGAAGGTGCAGCAGGTGACCCCCAGGTCGTGGGCGTTTTTCTCCGCGAGGAGCTGGTTCATGTCCAGGTCCCACAGACGCAGGTCCCCGTAGGTGGAGCCCGTCATGAACAGCTGACTGCAGGGGCTGAAGCAGCAGGCCACCATCGTCGTGTCACTCACTCCTCCGCTCCTGCAGAACACAACCAACATCTGCATCAGCCGGGACATCTTTTAACGCCATTGTTCGAGTACAATCACGTATGGAACTGCATGCTGTTTGGAAAGCACACATATTATGTCATTCAACTGCAAACAGTGGTGTGAGGAGAAGGAGGTGTACTATGCTGTATCTCCCGTATGAAAAAATCTGCATTTACCAAACTGTCTTTATTATCACTAAATCTGATTTGTTTGAAAATGGCTGAAGACTTTTCTTTTTGCCACTGCTTTTAATTGATATATTCATATCTCACACTGCACTGTAACTTGTATTCATGTACCTGTGTTATTCATGTTATATTATCTTTGCTTTTAAATGAGTGTTTTGAAATGCCCTTTTATAATATGTTTCTCCTGCACTATTTCTTAATGCTCTTAATGTCTTTGAATTGCTTTGTGTTGAAAGGTGCTATATAAATAAACTTGCCTTGCCTTGTTTAAAATGAGTTTGTTTAATTTAGTTTGTAAAATGTCACACAAAGTGACCTAGAAGAATCTGGAAAAAAACCCACTTCACCCTTTTAAATAATTGTCTTTTTTTTTATTGACTTAGTGTAACAGCTTTACTAAAAATCTAAGATTGGAAATGAACCTTAGCAGCTGTTTGGCGGGGAAATCCCACAGAGCCAAAGAGCCGTCCGATGCACCGGACACCAGGTGAGCAGAGTCAGGAGAGAGAGCGCAGATCCTCACAGGACTACGGCCGGGATGCTCCAGCACGGCCTCGATCTCTCCCGTGCTCATGGACCAGACCAATGTGGTGGCATCAGTGGAACATGAGGCGAGGAACTGTCCGCAGCTACTGAAGCAGCAGCAGTGCACGGTGTACCCATGTCCCGTCAGCGGGGAGAAGGGAAGCTCGGAGAAATCGTGCGTGTTGTATATCCGGAGAGTTTTGTCCCCAGAACACGTGGCGAACAGTTTCCCAGAGAAGGCACACCAGTTGACATCGTCTCGATGGTCTTGTAAAGTGCAAATCAGCGACGTCATTTGGAGAGCCGGTCCTGAAGTACACAAAGAGAGAAGGAAAGACACATTGTATAATAAGGAAAAACTGTAATCTTACGGAAGAGGATTAGAGCCACATGAACACAATTCAATTCACATCCCCACTACTACCTCACTTTTCCATGTGGCTCTAATCCTCTTCCGTATAATCTTAATATTACATATCATTGGTAAATACATATTTTTGGGTTTGGACTGTTGGTCAGACAAAACAAGACATCACCTTGGGCTTTCAGAAATTGTGAGCTGTGAGTCACAACATTTGAACGTTTCCATTTCTAAAAGCTCTGCTAATGTGTGTTGAGTGTTTCACATGGCTCAGACCACGTCCCTGTGAAAGCATAGGACTAATAACTAAACATTTAAGATAAGTGCAGAGCTGTGCCCTCCACATAAGTGAGATTGGTTATCTGATGCTGATAGTAAAATAATACAAAAGCAAGTTAGAAGTGGTGGAAAAATGCAGATATTTACAGAGCAGACACACTGTGTAACTAAAGCAACTAAAGGCATGCATTGACTTCAGTAAAGTGTTATCCCTTCAATGTTGCAGGTTGCTCTTTAATAGATTGTATTTTATTTGATGATTGTATTTCGTATGATTAAAAGTAACTAGTAAGATAAATGTAGTGGAGTACAATAGCCTCTGAAGTGTAGTGGAGTAGAAATATAAAATAGCAAATGGAAACACTCTAGTAAAGTACCTGTATAAATGTCACATATGAACAGCACTTGCTTATTTTAAATGGCTCATTTAAGTTTAATTGCAGACAATAAACAGGCTGAATACCATTTTTTATAGATTTTTAAAGATGTGCTAAGAAGAGAAACACCATCAGAAAGACAGCAGTGAAGCCTCAGGTGCTGAGTCTGTGGAGACAGTAGCTAAAGCTTTATGCTAGCTTTATACCTAATGCTTTAAAAACATAGGCCATTATTCACAAGCGACACTTTCAAACTATGACAAGTAACAGTCCAACAAGCAAACTCAGGCCGTAAATAACGTAAAATGTTATGGTAGTGTTAGCTACGTCTACCTGCAGCCGTGAAGCTCCCTCCGTGTTGTCCGTTCAGCTGAATGATGTTTACTTCCGCATTGAACAGCTGACCATTACGTCAAGCTGGTTACGTCACCCACTGTCTCGTGTTGATGAGCTCTGAAATCAGGACTCAATAATGGGGGGAAGTGGTGTAACTAAAGTCTTATGTGTTGTTGATTATATTTCACATCATAAATACAAATCTACAAAGTAACTAAAGGTATTCAATAAATGTAGTTGAGTAAAAGTACACGATTTACCTCTGAATTGTTGTGGAGTAACTCAAGTACTGCAATAACACAATTCTGACTCCTGAGTAATTCCATGTTCTGCTTCCAAATACCCTTTTACTCCACTTTATTTATCTGACAGCTATAACTACTGATTACTTTGCCAATCATAATACGAATAGATCAAGATGAGATAAGAGGGGACATTACACTATGGGTATAACATATTATTATTATCAGACGTGTCCTTTGTCCACTGCGTACTTTTGTATTTGGAACCTACAGTCATGTGATAGTCTACACATGTGACTTGGGAAAGCAGGGAGGTGTAAAGGACATTTACTCAACGCTTTTTCATTAAATCATTTTTACTCTACTTCACTTTAACGGGACATTTGCACTTTTTATTCACACAGCTATTTAAAGCTTTATTTAGTTGATATTTACTTCTCAGGTAAAGGCAGACAGAAAGCTACAGACAACACATATGCTTTATTGTTTTTTAGTTATGATGCTTTGCCATAAATTAAACTAACCAATAAATAATAGAGATGTTAGTAAGCGCTATCTTGAACTACAAAATGAAAATGCTATTAAAATACTATTGAGTGCATAAATGAGTTCTAATTTTAGAGAACAAGAATGATTTATCCACACATCTAACACTTAAAAGAAACAGTTCTGTAGAATGGAGTTAAATAAAACAAGTTGAAGTCATGTACGTTGAAAAACATCCTTTTAATAGGTCCGTGCCACACACTAGTGAAAAATAAAGCTCCTACAAAAGAATGATACTTTTATTCCACAATATTTAAATAAAGTAACTTCAAGTATCTTGACTTGCGTACAAAAAAATCTAGCTGCCTCCATCAGGCCACAACACACAGCAAGGTTCAACACAGTGGTTACAAATGGCCGTAGGTCCTCTGTATTGTGGCAGATTACGAGGAAATGCATCATGGAAGCATAACTGAATGCTTGTGTTTCCTTTTTTTCTGCTATGGAGAGGAATGATTTCTGTATCGCTGTCCAACTCTGGAGGCCTTGTTGGATTGAAATCAAATAAAAAATAACGTTGTCATAAGAATGAAAACTAAAACAATAACATCCCCTACATGCCCCTGTTGGAAGGGTAGGCACTACCAAGATTAAGGATACCACAGTGTTTGCAGAGGATATGTATATACTGTACAAACAATATTTATGATAATGTTTTCATCACGTTCACTAAAATAGAATGCTACAATCATTCTAAGGCATAAACAATATCTTAATATTCTTAAACAATTTTTACACATCGTTCCAAACAAGACATAATATTGACATTAATAAACAGTATATACACATGAATCACCTTTGTCTAACTGTTCCTCTGCTGTTCCTGTGAATAAATGCAGTTTTACAGTCTGAACAAATGAATGCAGTCCTCTGTTGCTCCAAAGCACTGAACAGTGTAAACAGGGTTTTTTTTCTTGGCTTTGTTTGATATTTGGGAGAAAAATTAAAACACAAAGACACATTCCTTTTTTCAATTCGAAGCAGTTCAGCTGATTCTTCCTTTTCATAGAAAATGAAGTGGACCTTGATTCATAAATAATTATTACAAAATTAAATACATTCACTATAATACGATTAAATAACAAAAGACTATGTACAAGTAGTGGAAAGTATTCTAGCGCCGACATATCAGTGACAGTTGAGGATTAATTCAGTGCAGTGTTCTGAGACAGGGAATGGTATTGCACTACAACACCCCGTTTCTCTGGGACTCTTTGGGGCCCTGTTGTAATAAAATTCAGCACACCTCATAACATGACATTTAGTTTTTTCAAGGTGTCATCTCTCTTAAGCACACCATGGTTCCTTATTAAGAATTTGACTTGTTCTTCCATCCTGCAAAGCCACATTCTTCATCAGAAAATAAAAATAAAGTAAAACCTGGTGCTCCGAAATGAAGAGTTTAATGGATTTATGGGAGGGGGATCTGAACAGACGTTTAGTTTGTTTGTTTCAGAAGCTCAGTCCATCGCTTCTCAAAGAACTTCCTCATGTTGTGACCAGCTCGACCAATTTCGGAATTGTCTTCATTGAATTTTTCGCAGTTATCGTAGACCAAGTTGACATCAATGATGAAAGTCTCCAAGTTTTGATACCTGAAATAAATGAAAAAAGTTAGACATCACTGTGGTGTACACACATAGTATAACTAAAACATATTTTGTAAACAAATATTTCCATACTTTTAAATGATGTGCAAACACCCTGAAGCTTTTCATAGGAAAATAACAAATGGAGGTTGACTTACTGGCTGTTCACAAGCTTCTCACGTATGGTGGAGAAGTCCATGGGCTTCTTGATGACCTTCCTATAGCCAGGGACTGATTTCTGGTTGACGGGTGTGAGGAAAGGCCATGCATCCTGATGCCGTTCCAACTCAGCAAGGAGCACCCTGTTGAGCACACAAACACACACGCATAAACACACATGAAGTTAAACACAGAAAACCCTGCAGGTTTCTTCTTCCCTCAAAGCTGCTATTATCAATATCACTAACAATACAATACATGCTGCTTATGTAACAACACATTATTATTCAGCTCTGCAGTACCCCTCAGCTCGTACATTAATAGAGTCTTTCAGCTAATTGATTTGGTTTTATGGCGCCCGATTTATTGTTATCAAATGAAATGAAATCGTGTTAATTGTTTATTAATTAAGGGAAACATTTCACAGCTTAAGAGCCAGATATTTCCCAGAGGGGTTGGTATAGATTAAAAGCAGAGATTTATTTGATATTAATTAATTAGACATACAAATAACTCTTAATGACTACTGGACGTGTGGACCCACATTTATTTAAAGGCAGTTTTTTATTTGCTGTAAGAGATTTAACAATGTTTGTTTTTATCTCATACAAACCAAAACTAGGAAAACAAGACTAACTTACTTTTTGCTGAAATGAACTTTGAACTTTTAATCTAGGCAAAAATAGCATAATTTGATTTGTTCAAAGACCGTATCTCTTAGGGTTGAACCACAAAATACTTTTTTTTATGGATAAATAGAAAATACAATTTGTTACAGCCCAACAGTAGATGGCAGTGACTGTGAAAGTGTTTATAAGATGGCGTATTAAGAAGCAGAATTCAACAAAAAGACAAGTGTGAACAGGCCGTCAGCAAGTACCTGCACAGACCCAGGTCCCTGTTGTTGTCTCTGGCTGTCTTGGCTCTCTTCACAAACACAGGGCTTTCCTGATTGGCTGCTGGCGGAGCAGGTGAGCTCTCCTCTGTTTTCCTCTTCCTGCTGGTGTCTTTTGCTCCCTTCTTGGGCGTGTTGCTGGCGCTGGCCGGATCCTCCTCCGTCGCCTCCCCGCTACCCGCCTGCTTCCCGTTCTTCTTCCCCTCTCCACCTTTCTTACCTCCTCCCCCGCTGGATGTTACTGCTTTGCTTGGAGTTTTTTTGTTTTTGGGAACTGGACCACTTGCCTGCGTAAAGGAAACAATGCATTATCTGAGGTCTGGTACAACTAAAACGGTTCGTAAAGTGTTGAGTTAAACCAATTTATCAAATGTATACTCCCCTTTCTTAAAGTATCAGTTTAACTTGTCATATCTTACACCACTAATATGATTTAGTTTGACCCTGAACACATCTACATAACACATTTTGTAATGCTTAAAATTATCTATTGTTTGATTTTAAGTATACAATAGAGAGGTGAGAGGACGTCCTCTCACTTCTCTATTGTATACTTCAAATCAAAGCATATACAGCCCAAGATCGATAGAGACTAATATCATTCTTTGACCAAGAAATTGTTGTTAAATACCAACATTGGATATTGCTGTATATTGTGTAGATAAAAGTATTAATATTTTAATCACAGAGGAAGGTGGGCATCAAAAGAACTACATGCTTAATAACTAGGATTTTCTCTACATTCCAGTGAAGAAAGAAGACATTATGAATGGCTCTGATACCTTAGATATGCAGGACGGGCAGTACCAGTCTCCCTCTGGGATGGTGGTGATTTTAGGTTTGTGACAGTAAGTGTGGCAGCCTTTGTCACAGCCGTCACACAGCAGGAGGAGATCCTCGTTATCCCCCTTCCTGCAAATCTGGCAGTACTAACAAAGCAAAACAAAGGCATCCATTAAAAAAAAGCAACGAGAATAGTAGCTACTCTAGATGTGTGGTTTGAAAATATGCTGCTCACCACTTTCATAATGGACCTCTCCCAGGCTATGGACTTCTGCAGCTGCTGGATGCACATGGCCAGCTGTGCAGCGCTGCGCACTTCAGTCAGAGCCTTCCTCCAGACCTTCATGCCATGGGCCACCTCCTCCTCACCACTAAGAGGAGATAATGAGGAGTGATGAGAAACCAGAATACTCACACAGATAGGTGAATATGTCAACTGAAAGCCGTAAACAGTATCAGTAGAACCAGCCGCCAACAAGACAGCAGACCATAATAAAGAGCTCCAGCTGTGCAGAGAGAGGTGTGAGGATTTTGGGGTGAAGGGCGCTGAGAAGAGTTACACACCGAGTTTGTTATGTGAAGGGGAAGTTCATGCAGAAAGAGTGAAAACCTGAGAAACTGTACTGAAGCACAACACCATGCAGATGACTGCAGAAAACAAAACAAGCGGGTAAACCAGTAAAAGATGCCTTTTACAGTCAAATGAAGCTGAGTGGGGTCCCCCACCCCACTCAGGAAACTGCACAAGACCAAAGAAAGGAACAAAAATGCAACAAGCCACCACGAAAAATCTGCTGTGAAAGCAGCAAAGACCCTCACTGTTTGAGTAGTATGGGAAACATAAAGCACACAGAGAGGAAAGGGTTCTCAATGGGAGAGTGGGGAGCTTTGGTTGGAGATATGACCTACCCTTCCCTGTCAGCACTAGTGGATGGGGCGGGAGCAGGGACAGTGACCGTACCGACATTATCCAGCCTGATCTGAATGGTGGTACCTAAGGGGCTCCTCAGGTACCTTCTCTCGACGTTGCGCTCCAGATCAGCCAGACGGGTCACTGCTATGTCCAACGGGTTGTCCAGGTGACGCATCACCCTGCCCTTCTCCCCCCGCTCCTCTGGATGGTCTTTGGAGTCCTTGTCTCCCGCGTGCGCTGACGCTGCCGTGGACTTGGTGAGGGGCTTGTGCTCGTAATACACCAGGTCCTCCCGCTCAGATTGAGGCTCCGGAAATGTCCAGCCCTGGAAGATGAAAATCAGCATTACGTTTTTGAACATGCTGTTCCCATACTCTGTGAGTAGCTTTACCTCAAAAAGTGAAGCTTTGTCATTTAATTTGATCAATTTGTGTGTTATCAATTAAATTGTGAACCAGGAAGTGATTGGGAGAGTCCTAAAACACCAGAGTATTACCAGAATCTATTTATTTGTTACTTCTGTGTGTATTATTTAGAGGGATCTATTAGTGAGATAGAATAGAATAGAAATAACAATGCCACTCACATAGCTATTTCAACCCAAACCACAATCTTCTCTTAAACCTCATCAAGTTGTTTCCTTTGTAGACAGAAGTTTATTTTGAAAATAAAATGTGAGCACTTTACAAGGGGTGTTTCTTGGCAGTGAAGGGGAACCAACAAAAAAAACAAGAACATCTTAAGTAAGCTATTATACGTATGGGAGAACATGGCCCCACTCCACAGGTTAAAACATATTTCTTACACGCTAACAACATGTGTATGGTTGTGTGAGCGCCTTACCTTGACCTGCAGGCTGGCGGAGGTGACCTTCCTCTCGAGCTCCTCCACCTGCTGCAGCACGGCGATGTCCATCTCCATGGCCTGCTCCTCCACACACCAGCCTCGCACAGACTCCACGCTCACCTGGCTCTCCTCCAGCTCATGCAGCTCGATCATGGCCACTAGATGGACGACATGAGAGATATCAGCCATGAATACACACACACACAAACACACTTAACGATGCAGGTAAACACGCAAGCAATGTAGAAAGATGGCTCATAAATAATACAGTGTTTGCGGTGTATTCAGGGATCACAGAGGGCACTCTATCGCTACAAAACTCTATCTATTTTCTTAATATATGCTGTGATTATTAGCTTTCTAGAAGTGTTTTAGGCACTTACCGTCTCTGTGTTTGGTGCAGACCTGGGGGACGATCTCTGTGTATTTCTGCATTTGCCTCAGGAGGCCCTTCTCCCTCATGCCTCGGCTGTGGAGAGCTGCGACTAAACCCCTCAGCTGGTAGATGTCAGACACCCGCCACCACCCTGTCAGCAGCTCTGAAACAACGAGCACAAACAGGCAGTTAAACCACAGGACACTGAACATACATCACTGTTAAAAGGGGCTTCACTCAGCTATGTTATACCCAAATGAAATTGCGTACAGCAGAGCAGAACGTTCCCTAATCCAATTATCTTGGATTATTCAGGCAAGTGAATTTTTTCAGGTAGGTGAATTACCGTTAACTTAAAAAATGGGGGTTGATTACGGCCTCAACTTTATTCTTATCAATGCTTTTTGGTCACTCACCCTCTGGAATTGGCCGAGGTGTGGCGTGGTCCAGGGATTTGGGCATCTCCAGGGCAGGGGAGGGCATGGATGAGGTTTTCTCAACGCACGGTAAAGGTGATTCGCTCTTGCTGGAGACACTTGCTGTGGTGTTGCCCTCCAGAGAGTGACCCAGCATGGGAATGGGGCTGCTGCACAGAGGCAGGCTGGGACTTATAATGCCGCAGGGCCAGCTTCCGAAAGAAACTCCTAGCAATGGACTGGACTTCACCTGGGGGGAGAAGAGGAAAAACAAAAGGGTGAGGGAGGTGGGGGAGAAGGTAGTGCATGGTAGAAATAACTGAACAGAACACAGCTACACTAAAAGAAATTAAAATTAACTTTAATCAAATGTATTATGTCAAAAGGTTCCATATAATTGTATTAGGTTAGTTGAAAGCAATAGTATTAAAGGTCACCTATCATACAAAATCCACTTTTTCATGTCTTTTATACATAAATATGTGTCCCCTCTGTTTAAAGAGATTCAGAAAGTTTCAGGAAAAAATGCATTATCTCTTTTTGTCCGGATCCATTTATATAAAAACCTGAGCTGATCAGAATTTGACCACTTTGTGACGTCATAATGTTTTTTGGCTTGTGTAACCATTAGCCAATCACCAACCAAGGTAACACCCGCCCACCTTATCACCTGGATCTCCTCCTAGCGTGGGGAGTGGCACCTTATTCTCATCTAAAGTAACAGACCCAGAATCAGCACTTTTGAAACAGGGCTGAAACAGAGGGGATTATGGGATGTATCATGCTACAATGCATGATCTGTTTGGTATTTCGAGCCAAACACTTCAGAGACATGTTTTGTTTATAACTGAGAACTATATTATATTGATGAAAAATAGTATAATAGGGGACCTTTAAGTTGAAACTATTATTTTGTATTTATAGTTCATTAAGTCAACGTTTCAGTTTTCGTGTAGCAGCCTCACCTGCAGGGCAGACAGCGGGTAGTTGAGGAGGCCAACTGGGTGGTGTGGGCTGGCTGAGGCGGCGGAAGGGGTGAGAGGCAGGGCGGGGGACTTAGGTGGGGAACTGGGCCCGGCCGGGGTGGAGGACGCCTGAGGAGACACACGGGGGGCTCCTGGAGGGGGTGTGGTGACGGAGGTGAGGTCACAGGGGTTGCGAGGGAGCAAACTGAACCAGTGTCCGCTCCTCTCCGTCAGGACTCTGAGGAGCTGGTCGTTGGGTTGGAATGAGATGTACGGAGGTGGGGCGGGGGACGAGGTTGGAGGAGTGGTTTCTGGGGATTCACGTGGGGCAGATAGTGAGGTTGAGGCTGGGGGAGGGATGTTGGTAGTGTCATTAGTGGTCACCATGGAGGTGGGTGTTGCTACTGTCTGCTCAGAGGTATTGTGAGTGGGCGAGGATGGTGTTACTGTGCTTGTAGCAACATGGGGACTCTCTTTCTCCTCTGCCGTCACAGCTTCCTCGCCAACGTCCTTGTTGACGTCCCGGAATGTGCACAGTTTGGTTACACAGCCTGGCTGCTGGTAGAAGAGCGCCGGGGAGTGTTTCTTCCCTTCATGCTCCTTTTCCTCTTCCTTCTCTGACTCCAAGCCTTGCGTCCGAGTGCTCTGCCCATCGAGGTCTGTGGGTTTCTCCTTCTGCAATTCCATCTCCTGAGGTTCCTCTTTGACCTTGAGCTCCTCTGCTGCTCTCCTCCTCCTCTGTCGCTCCTCCTCCATTTCCTCTGGAGCTGCAGGGAAATGAGGACGCGTACTGTTAATGTAGCTGAAACACAACTGAGGGCTGATTATTCTGTAACATTGTCCTACGCTTGCTTTTGGAAGAGTTGTATAAGATAATTAAAGTCAGACTCAGATAAGTCCTAGAGAATTAAGACAAAGTTAAACATCATCTGCATATTTGACACTGAAAAAAACAGAAGATGTATTAACTTATTTTCTTCATTCCTCTCACTGCTCTCTGCAATGTGCATAGTCATGATTTTGTGTTTTGTGCATTAATGTGCTTCACAATCAAAAGAGCAAATTAAAACCTTTCAACATACTAATAAATCAAACTTAGTGTGAGTTGTCCTGTAACTACCTTCTCCACTCTCCATAGCTTCAATGAAGACCCCCCCACAGTGGGGAAGTACCCAGTACCGGCGGCGATAGCGGTCCTGGCCGTACATCATGGAGCGAAGAGAATGTGATATTTCAAACAGCTTTCTCCTGGTCTGATGATGTTGCTGCAATAATACAAAACACACTCTGTGATTTATATGCATTATTTTAATCTAAACAGTGTCAGGAAAACAAGCGTATGCTATCTCATGTCCTGATGCCAACACAGTGATATATGGAGTATTACTTGCTATGCTAATGAGGTATTTTATTAATGCCATCAAAGGCAAATAGCCCTATGTCAGTGTACATGTACAAAACACATGGTTGTTTACACACACAGTATTAAAGAATGTAGATGTTGCAGCTTTTTTATGACCTCATAATCTGATATATTATCTGGAGTGTAGGAGGTGTTGCCTGATTATTTATTCCACTCAATTGTAATTAAAAAAGAAACATGTCACCATGGCAACATACAGTTAAGTCCGGCATAACCATATACAGGAATGGTGGTTAATAAAATACACCAATAACCCCCCATGTTTCGGTGGTTTATCTCTTCATAGTTGGATCCCCAAGAGAGTATATTTTAATCTCACTGTGGGTTGCGTTTTTAATCACACATTATCAGTGTAAACCAACCATGCATTCATTTTCTGATGCCTTATTCATTTATGTTAATGATTGTTAACTTAGTCACAGCACTTGTTCATTATAAAGACACGCGTACCTTGGCTAATTTCTCTATCTGCTTCTCCAGCTCGTCCAGACTGGTGGCTTGCTCAACTTCATCCTGACAGGAGGAAACAAATCCAGTGAATGACTGAGAGCAATGAACAGTAATTCATCTATAGATCTACCAGTCACATTTTCACTACACAATTTCATGGCCAAAATAATTTACAATATTATTGTGATATGTATAGAAAATGAAAATGTATTGAAAACATTGCAACGTTGCATTTTTAACTTTGCTGATTGTGTGTAATGTCTCTTTTTAATGTCTCGTAATGATGTTGAAAATGATGAAATATCATGGTTATTATCAATACCGGTATATTGCAACACCCCTAGATGCATCAACGTTTTATTTTCTTTTCTTACCTCATCATAGGTCTCCACTTTTTTCACCTTCTTCAATTCTTCCTCCTCCTCATCCTCATCCTCCTCTGCCTGGTCATCACTGTCATCATCCTCGTCATCCTCATCGTCACTGTCTCCCGCCAGTTTCCTCTTGCGTTTGGTGGCAGAGGATGGCGTGCCAATAGACTGGTTCTCCTCCACGCCCATACTGGCCTCCCTCCTCCCAGTCCGTTTGGCATAAATGGTCCTCAACCTGCAGAAACACACACAGGTTAGGATTGATAGTGAAGGGGGGATCAAAGCATTGTTTTTTTGGATGAAAGAAAACTGACTTCTTTAGTTTTCCCTCCATAATGATCTTGTCCTTCCTCATGTTTGCCATTTGGTCCAGGTTCTTTTCAATCTCACTGGAAGGAGAAACACAGTTAGCATTGTTGTTACGGTATGTACAGTATGTTTGTGGTTTTGGTACCATCAAAAAGAATACGGCATATTAAGCCAAACATAATAGCTCTGTGAGGCTGGTTACTATCTACAGACATAGATAAGAGTTTAAAAAGCTGGTACCCTGGAGCATAAAATTAATTCTTGCATAATTTCTTCACAAATGAAAGGACTGTAGTGCAAATTACTGCTCCACACTGCATCAATAAAACACACCATTATGGACTAATGAATAACCTGAGTGTTAGGCCATATAAAGGCACACATGACACATATATGTGTTCCCTTAGTGGTTGGTGAATAGGAATTATTGGATTCCAGTTTTGAGTTTTAAATGATGTATATCTGGGGGTGGAGGAAGTGTTGCAGATCACTTTATAAGCATAGATTTCAGCTGTTTCTCCTACCTGATGACGGCTCTGCTGCAGGCCAGCTCGTTGCCCAGGAAACCCAGGATTGAGGCCTTCTGGGAAGGCTTGTGGGCCTGGAAGGCCTTGGTCTTCAGGCTGAGGGCCAGAGGGGCCAGCTCTGTGTTGGGACAATGGGCCCCCATGTACATCTGCAGCACCTCAGACACATTATCCCTGTTGATGCCAACGTTGGTCAGGTGGTCCCCCAGCATGGTTTTTGTCTTAAGAGAAGGAGAGGTCGACAAAGAGGTCGAGTTCATGAACACTTTCTTGATGCTATTGTATTTTATTATTCTTTTACCACTGTGCAGCAAACACCTTTGTTACTTTTAAATGCACTGTATAATAATACTATATGATAACTTTAAGTTAAATTAATGTCCATGCATGTCAATATGCATTTATTCACAACACAGGAAAACATACTTAAACCTTAAATCAAACCACAACAATCCAATACAACCAGATACATCTGTATTTGAAATGTGCTACAGAAAAAATATAAAAAGTAGTCATACTGTAGAATAGTAAAGGAATGAATGAATGGAGCAATACTCTTTAAGATGTATTTTTGTGGGTACAAGGTCTACATACAAAACATGCTGAGTTTTTCATATCAAAGCAATGTAACTTTTTACAAATGTTATCACACATTTGGCATATAATATAACACAATACTTATCAACTAAATGTATCATGAGGCTGTAGAACTATCAGATAGCAATAAGTGCATTTGCATTCTCTGGTGTAATTCTTAAGATGTCTCCACATGTGACTGATGATGACTTAATGAACTTCAAACCAGCTCACCCTTTGTCCTGGGGGCAAACCAGGGTCACAGACCGCCAGAGAGAGCAGTTTGACCAGAAGGTCTTGAACCTGGCCCATGCTGTCCCCCACATTGAGCAAGCCTTCCTGTAGCATGCCCAGGGTCGGCACGTCGGAATTCAAATCAAGCCCCAAAACCTTCCCGAAGCCCCGCAGGAACTGCATCAGCATCAGGCAGTCCGACACGGCACGTCCCGGCAGGATGAGTCCAGGAATCCGGGAGAACTCAGGGAGAGGCTGCAGAGAAAAGAGGGTGAAGTTGAGATTGTTGTGAATTTGGACTACAAAAAAATATGATTTTAATAGCTATGGGAAAATGGGAGGAAAGCTGTGATTACATCCCACATCTGTTAACTGATATCAAGATGGTGCTTTCCAATTTAAAGCGACGGCTACTTATTTTCTACATTATGCAGTACTCTCCTTTTACCACTTGGGGGCACACACGTCCACACATAAAAATGCCCACTTCCATGTGGTCTTATCGTAAGTACTGACCCTCAGAAAATGTTTAAGATATAATAATAATAATAATAATAATAATAATAATAATAATAATAATAATAATAATAATAATAATTATTATTATAATAATAATGATAATAATAATAATTGTAATAATAATAATAATAATAATAATAATAATGATAATAATTTTTGTGTGAATGTTTCAGTCTTTCTGCCTAAGTCAATGCATTTAACAGCACTTAAAAGAGGAAAAGAATGACACTGTAAGTATATCAAAGTGTGTATTGACTAAAATTAGATTTTCGTTTCAGTAATCCACTCACACCAAAAGCACTGTCCGGATGATCTCAACTACCTACCTTATGATCAGACAGACACATATCTTCATTTGGCTTCTTCAGTTCTCTCGCTATCTCTAGCTCCAGCCTCCGTTGCTCCAGTTTACGCTCTTTGTTCAAGCGCTTCTCATCCCTTTTCTCCTGCCGCAAGCGCTCACGCTCCTGGAGTGTCCAAAATACAAGAGAGTATTAAGGAAGCAAAGTGTGCATATGTAATTCTGTGTGTGTGTGTGTGTGTGTGTGTGTGTGTGTGTGTGTGTGTGTGTGTGCGTGCGCGCATGTGTGTGTGTGTGTGTGTGTGTGTGTGTGTGCGTGCGCGCATGTGTGTGTGTGTGTGTGTGTGTGTGTGTGGGTGGGTGTGTGTGTGTGTGTGTGAAAATAGACAAGAAGGTTTACTTGACTTTGCTGAGCAGTATTAGAATTCAGCCTAATGCTGGTGTGCATTCAAAAGAAAAGTGCTTGAGGGCCAGAATCTTTTGACTTGGTAAGTGTGTAGAAAAAAAATGAATGGAGCAAAAGAGCGCACAAAAAGGAGAGAAAGCGGGAATCTATCCAGGGAATAATGACTTAGGCTCTTTTGTATGGAGTGGACTGTGTGTGCGTATGTCTGCATTTATTTGTGTGCATATGGGCTACCTCTGCTTTCTTGCGAGCCTCAACAGCCTTCATCAGCATTACATGTTGCCTCCTCCTCTCCCTCTCCTAGAGTGGCAAAAACACAGGCACATTAACAAGCACACATTGCACATGCAGCACTCAAGGTCGACTACATTTAGTATGCATTAATGTAAAATTGTGATGCACGAAATTCAATTGAGGCACCATACTGGAACAAACACAAAACGATGCTTCACATGTATGCACTTTCACATGTATGGTTGAAGCATAAGTGAAGAGTACAGTATTACGATGACAACCAAAAAAGCAACACAAAGATGCGATACAAAGTAGATGTGATGACAGGCTCAAAAAAGAGAAGCAGCTGGAGTCGGTGGCGGCGCCTCTAAACTAAAGCTGACACAACAAAAGCAGCACAATGCTGATTGCCAGACGTCATCTGACGTGCCACTTTGGCATGATCAAAATAATACATTTTATTACATGAGTCAATGAAAATGTTTTATTGACATATCATCTTCACAATATTTAGTGAGGGGACGACATTTAGAATTGGTTGGTTAAGACTAGCCACAATCAGAGCAGCTCTACTTCAGTGGTTTTGGCAGCGTGAGTATTAGCACAATGTGCGACTGCCGAGGATGAGACGTTTATGTTGTTCTTTGGTGCATGATACACAGTCTACTGCGAAAAGGGCACAAGAATCACCGGTGACTGACTATCATTTTATTTGATCTCTTTAGGTTTCCCGCTCCACCGTATCAGGCTGTCACTCCCTCTGTGATCCACCAGAAAGACACAATTGCCACTATTAGGGCTTGCCAAGGACATTTCCAGCACATAGTGAGTAAAATGGGGCTTTGTGTTAGGGATTGTTTAGTCATTGTGATAAACAAAACAGGCTAGATGCCAAACACTCTGCTTCAACAGTTCTGTGTCCTTCTTGGTTTGATTTATCTACAAATGTAAAACTTCAAAAAGGACACAGAGCCTTTGGCATTCTGCTTTTTCTAGCTTTCCAATTGATTAAAACATTGACAATGTTGAGGGATATTATGATATCTGCATGAGACAACCGTAAGTACCAGGATTATGTTATGTATCTCAATTTGCTCTGAGTTAAGGTAAAGGGGGTTAATGCAGCAATCGGCTCTGAGTCCACGGTGAAACAGATAGGCAGACATTTAGATTCAGCTGTGACTGTGTATGAGTGAGAAGGGCTAACAAGCAGGACAGCCAGGCCAAAATAAAATGCTACACAGAACCATATTTGTCCATGTGGTGGATTTATTTATATTGTTTTCTACAATCAGGTCTGTTTTTTAGGCAATGGTTGTTCTGAACCCTCACCAAAGTGGGTGAGGGTTCAGAACAGGCGGGGGGGGGGGAATCTTCCTGGAAGTATCTCCACCATAAGGACAAAATGGTTCTCAGTAGCTGTTTTCATTCTTTGTGCAGAGTACAGGAACAGTGAATGACAGAGAGGCTGGGATGGGGCGGGTTAAAGTCCAGCACTCTGTGGACTGCAGAACAGATGCACGGACAAACAGACACAAGCTCAATGTCTGGGCCCAAATCGTCAAGCACTCATGGGCAACACAGGCTACTCCAATACAACAGATAGACAATGTATGTGATGGATGGAAACTCCTCGAGTGCACTTTGAAACTGTGAGTGTGGATTGGCTAGCAGTCTTTGCAATGCATTCTGAGTAGAAGGGGGGAGGAATGGGGGAGGGGGACAGAAGCTGCCTGGCCACCGTGACAGGGTCAGTTGTCCCTCAGGACGAGCAGATGGAGGCAGCATACTGACTCTTTTTCTCTTTTGTTGGTTTTGCTGGAAAGCCATGCAGAAGAATGTAGTATGACAGCAGCCAGTGCTACACTTAATGCATTGCTATGACAACCATAACACAACCAGTTACACGATGCAGGTGTTAGATGTACAAAAATAAACATACCCATACCATATCTAGTCTATGCCTCTCCAACTCCTGGCAGAGAGAGTTGGCAAAATATTATGGAACAGAAATAAAAATCCAATACCAAAAAGCAATAGCGTTCAATAAAGAGAAATACTGAAGACTTTCATTCAACAGATGTTTGGTAATTAAGCACATTTCTATATATATATACTCACACATGCCTTGTATTTAAATGCATATAGATGCACAAATACACACACACACACACACACACACACACACACACACACACACACACACACACACACACACACACACACACACACACACACACACACACACACACACACACACACACACACACACACACACACACACACACACACACACACACACACACACACACACACACACACACACACACACAGGTCAAATTCCTATTCAAGTAAAGTCTGAGGTAAACGGTTTTATTCAGCAGTAACTATTATGTTTAAGAGGCAGAGCAAGTTGGAGTGAATTCCTACCTGGTGTTTGAGAATCTCCGACTGCTGTCTCCTCAACTCTTTCTCCTTGAAGGCAACCAAGAGAAGATGAGGGAAAAATCAATAGGCTTCCATTGTGCCAATATCAGGAAAATCACTACGGACTGATGGAATTTCAAAGGGCTGCTGTGAGTGTACGGCCAGCTGCTCTCAAGTGGAAAAGGGGCCCACATCGTGGTGCATTTGAGCTGATTAATGCTATTTTGATTAAAAAGAGTCCTTGCCTTGCTTATGTAAGAATCTAATACTGACTGTGATTCTACATCTGATTTATCAAACACATAAACATACCTTTATACGCTTTTCAGCATCCATTATTTTGGCAGTGGCAACTTCTTCCTTCTTTCTCCGTTTGGCCTATGAATAAAGATTAAGGTCAAGGATCTCAGAAAAAGACATATATCAATCAGTCTTAGGTGAGGGCTTAGCTGCACTTTAACTGATTGTTTTCAGTGTTCTGCTTTGAGCACAGATTTTATGCTCCTGAATGCCAGTCAAATTTGTAAAACACAGCGAATGAATAATGTATCTCTTTAACACCTAATTGTGAAAATGTTGAAGCCTCCCGTTAAGAGTGGCTTGTCAACCGTGTCAACTCAAAATTGATTTAGTCCTGCTAAAACACTTTGAAGCTCCTATAATTGTGTGTGCCTGCATATGTGTGGGGATGCATCATTGCATGTGTGTTTGTGTGTGTGGAAAACAGCCTTTTTTTTGTTATCCTCGACCCACTTATGCTAAACTGTAACTGTTGTCTGAAGAAAAAAAGACTTTTCTGTCCAATTTAAATAAGGTCTGAAGAGGCAGCAACAGCCATTTTAATATTCAACAGCCGTCAACCAAGACCAATTTAGCATTAGTTCCATGTGGAATTATGCCTAAGAAGACGCAGTTCCCTCCAATGCATGCTGCTGTTCAGTAATGAGCTTTAGGAAGATTACAACACTATAGACTGAGGGGCTGAAGCTATCCAGGAATGTTCTGCTTAATCAGAGGTGCTGTTGGATCACATTTTGTACCTCCAAAATGTGCTGCGCTCTGATTTCCTTCTCCATCCGAATATGGTGAATGCGCTTGATCTTTTCCTGTAAAAACAACAACAACGACAACAAATAAAAACATAATCTTTTCATATTTTAAACATTGGAAAACATCCTTTAATAAAATCACTAGCCAACCACTCTATTCCAAAGACACAACAATAAGTTCAGTATGAGAAGTAATAATTGAAAAGCAAGCTTTGAAGCATCACAAAATAACCATTCAGCATTTCCTGCGGTGCACACGGAGACTACGTGTGTCAGGACACTTAGATAAGGAGAAAGGGAGGAAAAAGATTTGTCAGCACACACGTAAGGCAAACCCACCTGCTGCTTGAGGATCTTGATCTGCTCTTTCTGCTTCCTTCTCTCCTCTGCTGCCATGATAGCTACAAGAGTCAAGTCAGTGTTATATTAGTGTCGACAAAAATGACCTTCAAAGCTAGTAGCAGTCATATCTGAGAGAATTACAGTTGCTAAGCTTTATTTTATTTAGGAGATCACAATCTATTGCACCCACAAGAGGCCAAGAAACTCACAACTAAGATGAGTCAGTGATACAAAGCAAAAACACACAGCAACTGAAAACAACCAGAACACATTTTTTTTTAAAACAGCTTGTACAATCTTCTTTTGGAGGTATGAAAAACGTAGTATGGTGCATAATGGAAAACATAACGATGAGTCTAATAAACCTTAATTTTACAGTAGTCAAAACACACATAAGATAACAATAACAATAACAATCTGGCCTATTAAGATTCTGATTACATTTATAGCTTCAACACCATGTATAGGAATAAAAAGAAAAATGTTAAGCATAATAACTGAAACCAGCAGCATCGCAGATAAGAGATTAGAGTGGAAAAAAGGATTGAAGCCTGTGCTTTAACGTGATGAGAATAAATACAAACATTTACTAACAACAGTGGAATTAGTAGCATCAGTGTCTGCAGAGGCCCTGCTAGACTTTATACTTGGGAAATAGTTTAAAGTGAATTAACTGGCCAACTGAAAACCACCACTATCATCCTTACAGCACTGAGCTCCTGTTAACAACAAACACAAAACAAATTGTTGTTGAGGAATACCTTGTTGTTTCCGAGCTTCTTTGGCTGCACGCGCCATTGCCTGCTTTTCCATTTTTCTCATCATTTTCATCTGGGCAGCCTGTCGCGCTATTTCTGCAGAAAGTGGTAAAAGTCATTGTCAGTTCAAAGTTACAGGAGAAGACTGCTGTAGCCTGACATGGCACATTTGACAAAATAATTCTTTGGCTTTTGTGAAAAATACAAAATAAGGGGCAGATAAAGAAAATGTCAATGTGTTAATGTGTCTATTAGCACCTAAAAATGCTGAAATATATATGAAATATGTATTTGAAGGAGTGTTGGTAGCAAAAGATGTTTATAAAAAAACATGTGCACTAATATTATTATCAAAGCCAAATAAAATGCACAGTAACATCAGAAATAAATGATTACAATGGTGATTCATTTAGAAAAAAAGTATTTGTTTTACTTTAATTTAAATAGATGCATATAACAAACATCCATCACCAAAAAACGGACTTCTACAGAAACAAAATGTCAAACAGTAACCCCTAACTCTTGCTATCAGAATAATGGCTGCTTGATTAATGGCACACACGCTTATACGACAAACATATTTCAGGGCTCATTTCCTGTGCTAACCTTGAGCCTCTAGTTTGCGCAGGAGTTTGACCTCACTGGGACTGGGGCCCTCGGGGACCAGGGGATCGCCCACATTAGGGGGCCGCCCCTTCCTCCGTCGGGACCCTTTGCCACCTTCGCCCCTTGGCTGGCGCTCTGTAGAAGGGCGACTTCTACGACCTTCCATCGCCAAAATGTGAGGAATGACTTCCTCCTCGTTCAGACGGCTCCACTGTAAACCCTGCAGAGGGAAGAGCAGCGTTGGAGAGATTGAGGGGGGGGGGGGGGGGGGGGTGGGGGAGTGTTAAACAGTGAATGACATGTTGACATACATAAATGGATGTGACTAAAGGGCAATTTAATTGTTAGCTAAGTAGACATTTAATCTGGGTTTATTCAACAGTGGTGGATAGATGAGATAAATAATATATCTAAATATACTTCATGATACAATCTGGCTAAACAATGCATTTCATAAGAAGCACTCATTTACTGTACCATCTAGTTTTTCTCTGGCCCCTCAGAACTGTATGTTTTTTTATTTTCTGCTTCCAATAATTTGCACATCCAATTTCTAATTCTATTTCTTCTCTCTATATCACAGAATACGTAATGGAATGTAAATGATTGGTCACCTGTGGAAGTAATATCAGCTGATTATAACATTTAACCCATGCACAGTGAATGGTCTATGGACTACTGAGGCTTTTGGTTGATTCCTATTCATGCCCTGACAGCCACTGCTGAATGATGCTTTGCCTGCCGCTAGATGAAAAGATGAACAGGGATCAGGAAGAGAGAGAAATAGAGATGAAAGGCAGTCACCTGGGGTCCTTCTCTGGCTTCATAGAAGTCACCAACCCTTATCTTTGCACTGAAGCTAAAATTATCGCGCGTGATGCCACTTATTCCATTTCTGGATAGATACTACAAAAGAGAAAATAATAACGGCGTTGGTTTAGGCAGGAAAAAAAAAACTGTGAAATTAATGTGACATTGAAAAGCAACTGGGAGCACTAGATTGGAGGGAGTCTAAGGTTACACTGTGCATCTGTGCACTGCTACTAATCATTATAAAAGCCATGGGGACAAAAAAAGAGCAAATGCTCTTAGGAGAGAAACGGTTCTGACCTTGGGGTGCACAATTCAAGCCCTTTCGTATTTATCTGAGGCTTTTTACTGCCTACTGACTGACACGCAGTGAGTGAATGTTCCTGAGTACACACTTTTCTCTTTGCACTTCTACACTCAGAGGCAGTTCTGTCAATTAGCTATGAGCTTTTGATGAAGCAAATAAAGAAGATCGTAGATTATAATGTACCGTCAAATGGGGCTTAATCTGTGCAACCCAAAACTAACCATTCATCTTTTTTAGGGAAGGAGAGGTGGGAGAAAGTGGCAGAAGGAGTAAATCAAAGAATATCATCTCACACTATGAGGGTCACAGGAAGCAGGGGAGGAGTGTGGGTGAGGAGCAGCGATAGAATAGGTAATATACAACAAATCCAGATAAAGAGCATTTTTTTGAGCGATGTGGATGAGCAGTGTTGCTAGCAAATATATCTTTTTATTTATCCAGGACTTCTTTACTTTAACTTCATATGTTTGTATAAATATGTATTTTATTCTAAAAAGATGCAACTGTCAGAAAACTTTTCTGATTCAACATGTTATAATTAATCATAAAACACCCCCAATGAGTCCCACTTTAATCCCTGTTAAAGAATGAACTGCTCATCTGTATGGCTCAAATAATGTGCCCCTGTATCCTGAATGTAGACTACAGAAAGCAGACTACAGCGTACCTTCATCACATCTGGGTACTGCCTTATTTTCTTGCCACACGGTGCGTAGTAGGCCACCTCACCATGCGGCCGCCCAGTCACTGATTTGATTCTCGTTTCTCTTCGCCACCTGGGTTTTTAAAGAATGAGAAAAATACCACTGTTGTTCAGAAAAACAGCATGCCACACATTTGTGATCAATAACAGGTGTGAGCACTTTGAAGTGAACCGGTTCATAAGAGCTTTCCTTCTCTCAGCCTCTTGCACATACCCCAACTCCAGAGGTATCATCAACTCCTTCTCATCCATCACCCTCTTCCTCTTCCCTAATCCTGTGGAGAGACACAGTTCAGCCATCAATTTGACAGCACAACCTACAACTGGAAAACTCACACACATACAAAGCAGCAGTCAAAGACCTTTACCTGTAATCATACCTGGCAGGGAACCAAGATCACGTGTTTGCATTTACTAGCAGCATTTCACCACAAAACTTAAAACGTACACACAATTCTCTAGGCTGCCATTTTTAAACGATAAACCTAAAATGACAAGCCCGAAATGCAAAGAAACACAGAAATACATTTACATCGTTTGTTGTCTGATGAAAAGGTTACATTGAAGAACAGCACCAGAGAACATAACAACTATTTTCAACAGAGGGAAGACTAATATCTGCCTTCCTGGCAAGCTACCCATGTCTTATTTCCTGGGAAAACCACTCTGCCTTCAAAGACAGCAGGAGTCAACCGTGTTGCTTTGCCAAACAAGTTGTCTGGGCTCTTGGGCATGCAGCTACATGACCTGAGAGCTGCAGTTAGTCCATGACTGCCAACGGCCTTCTTCCTGCCTACCTAAAAGTAACAATCCCTCTTCACAGTCACCTGAGGATGAAGCGCTGTTCTGATGCCTTTAAATAAAGTTTTTTGGTTGTTTGGTTTGGTTGTTTTGTTTGTTTTTTACTGATATAACACCACACACATCCTTGATGACTAATTGTTTAACTTTCTCCGTATAGCTTTAAAAACACATTACCTAGAGGTGAGGCCAGGCTGTAGGAGGAAGAGCCTGGAGAGCTGTGATAGGCCAAGGCACTGGAGCTGGTGACAATGGAGGGAGACTTGATGACCTGGAGGTTGAGGGGGGGAGCAGCTGGTGGCGGTGTGATTGGTTGAGGTGTTCAGTAGTTCTGTGCCTTTGGTTAGCCTGCGCGCGCTCATCTCCTTCTTAGATGATCCAGACGGAAACTTCAACTCCTTCACTTTCTTGCCAGAGATGTCGCTGTCTGAGTTGCTGTCAGATTCTGAAATGGGAGTCAAGGACACAAAAAGGGATAAGGATCGATTCTTTTCATGCAAAAAAATGAGAACATTGCGTAGCTCCAGCCTCTCAGATGTGAGGATTTGCAACTTGTTCTCGTCTTTCTGATATTTGAACTCTTGGTTTGATGTATTAAGCATTTCAATGACATCGCCTTGGGATTTGGGAAATTGCGCTGTCCATTTTCAGAACTTTTGACTTATTGAGAAAATAAAGAATTTGAAGTTGCAGAAATGATCTCAGTGTTTTAAGGGTCAGCGCATTATTACATTGTGAAAATTGTATCCCTGAATATCGAACTAACTAACCTGAGAGACTATCATCTGAGTCTTCGTCATCCTCCTCTTCAAGGTCGTCATCCTCGTCATCATCATCATCATCTGCCGAGTCGTCAGATTCCTTGTTAGCCGGGAGACCAGCTGTGGGGTTACATGTCCCAGGGATCCCCATTCCGGGAATTCCCACTCCAGGGATACTCACTCCGGGGATACTCACTCCGGGGATACCGATCCCGGGCTCTCCTCCACGAAACAAATCTACCAGAGACTGCACCAGATGGTTCTGAGAGAAGCCCTTCCAGGCAGCTAGTGGGTCTGGGGGCCCCAGTACCTGTCCCTGTCCCTGTCCCTGTCCCAGCACTGGGGTCTGTCCCTTGCCCCTGGAGGTTTTGTTCTTTCTGGATCCATGGCCTGTGGCATGGGGTGAGGTAGTGGAGGCCTGTGTCGGGGGTCCGGCCTGGGCCCCTCCGTGGGTCCTGCTCGCCCCTGTGCTCAGATTGACAGGCATCGACCCAGGATCGGAGTCGCACTGAGGGGACTTGCCTTGAGAGGCAGATTCTTTGCGAGGTTTAGTGATGAGGGCCAAAGGTGTGTCCTGAGTGATGCTTTGGATGACTCCATTGGGGTGGTGGGGTTCAGGGAGCCCCAGCAGGGCGCTGGAGAGGAAGAGGTTGGAGTGATTGTTCTGAGGAGGCGGAGCGAGTGGCAATGGCGATGAAGACAGAGATGTCCTCTTGGGAGACTTGTTTGGCCCCTGCTGCGGCTTCTTACGCTCAGCTGGGAACGTCTGCCCTTGGGACATGAGAGTCTGGGAAGAGAGGAGGAGTAGAGAGGGAGACAACAAGGAGAGGCAGGGAGTCGGGGGGAGGGAGGGAGAGGGAAAGGCAGAGAAGGTGGAACAAAGAAAGTTCGGGAAAAAAATTAGAAAAGAAATGGGACAAAGTGGAGTTGCTCTAGCTGTCAGTTTGCATCACTGTTGATTGTTTGAGCAGGTGACAAAACTACAATGCTGAACACTGGTACAGTTAGCGCAGTCTAAGCCTCTTTCTGGGAAACAAAAAGAACACAAATGCAATAACCAGAGGCATTGTACTCAAGTTCACAGAAAAGAGACTCGGAGTATCTCTCTAGAATTGTAATTACTTGTCTGCACATTGGAAAAGCTCCATCATCATTATCATCATCATGCAGCTGGGCATGTTTGCCTTTGTTGCACTCATGATAAGTTTGGTTCAATCTGTGTTTAAGCAAAGGCAGGTTAGACTTTAGTGCTGCACTTTCAACTGGATGTGATATGAAGTGAAACAAATCAATTTCACAGACCATGAAATACAGTAACCGTTCTGAAACCACAGGGGGAATTTAGCTTGTTGTAAACTTCTCTATACTGGTAAAACAGGAAAGGGGAAATTATTTTCAAAGCTGATCTTAAAAGGTTTAGCTTATTGATTACTGGGCTACCATGCATATTTCATCTGAAGAAAGGGAATTTGTGTAAAGGCATGAAAAATGTCAATTTGTATATAATTTCTTCTGAACCAATGAAAAATCTAAATGATACAGCAGCATATGTGCAGACACAAAGTGTGCTTCAGAATGGAAATGAAAGTAAAATCATTAACCATTTCATCAGCAGGCTTAACTCTGCAAGCAATGTGCAAAACCTCTAAATCAGTCAGAAGATCGTAAAGCTTAATGAGCTATATTTTGAAGGAAAGTAAGGTCTTGAGACAACATATTTGCCCTGTAGCAGCTTTAAGGTTAAAGTAGCTGCTTAGAAAGTACATTTGACACGAAGTAACTAAGACACTAGTAAGATGTTGACCCACAAACATTGATAAAACTGAACATAAAAAGTACAGTACACAATTTAAAGTAAGAGCTACATTAATTTGTGAAGATACAATACCACATGCTGAAGAGACTAAGCACTCACTAACAAGCTGGAGCATTTCAGGGACTAATGTTTGCAGAGTGAAGGTTTTGAACATTCCTAGTGTCAATTACACATAAGTGATTACCCATCTATAAAAACTATTGAACACAAAGACAAAACACTCCCTTATTCACAAGGACTCAAGACTTTTATACCAAATGTATAAATAGAAATGACTAAATGTCCATTTCTTTTTCTATATCCCTAGTTAACTCCAAAAAGCACTGCTTCTTAAATCAAATATACAAAACAAAGAGTCTCTCTCTGATGTCCAACAACAGTTGTTAAGAGTTGCTTAAGTCCATGTTATACTTGTAAAGAGACCCTTTGGAACATGGTACCCTCTGATACAAAGTGTTATCCCTCTTATGAATGGGAAGCTGCAATAGTTTCACAATTATAATAATGAGTTATGATCACATTTTTTAATTCACAAGCAGCAGTTCTGTTATTAGATGCTTGGATATTGTGATAAGTACATTTTGTAAATGGCCACCACATTAATAAAGAAGTGCTGGTTATGGTGTAGTAATAATGAAACAAAAAGTGTTTCTGCACGCCCAGCTCCATTGAACAAACTCATTACTGTCATTTATTTTGCAACAAGTTGTTAACTTCAGCTGACTCTATACTCATATATAAAGGACTCACAGCACATTGTGTACATGCAAATGTACAGTATGGTATATGTAAGTGGATATGGTAATGAAAAGGTATTATTTAGCTGCTTTTATCAATTTGGCTTACCTGTTTAAGCCTGAACTCATTGATGTGCGTGAGGGAGGTCTCGAGCTGTTTCCTTTGTTTGCTGGATTTCGCAGAGCCAGAAGCAGATCTCCGAGGTGGCTTCAGCGAGGACTTCCGGGAGCCTGTTACGCATGAGGTCGATCCAAAACCAAAAGATTTTGGGGAGGTAGAAAGGGGAAGTGTGGGAGCGGGGTGGAGAGGGGACGGAGAGAGGCTTAGGGGAGGAGCAGAGGGAGAGGGGCAGGTGCTGGGGGGAGGAGGAGGGCAGCAGTTTGGGAGGTTTGGGAGACGTGGTGAGGGCTATGGGGGAGGAAGATGGAGAAGACTCCCTACGGGGATGAGAGAGGAGAGCCAGGGGCTTAGAGCTGGCAGCCAGGCCAGTGGACTGGATCACACTGAAGTGCTGCTGTGGCCCCTCAGTGCGGGACCTGTGGAGGGCCAGCGGCGAGGTTTGGGGAGAGGGCCGGGGGAGAGGCAGAGCAGGGTAAGGACACAAGGTTTGGTGGGTGGGGCTCCCTAGAGAGGAGTCGTTCAGTCTTTCCAGTGCTTGGTATCAAAACCTGGGGAGAAAATGAAAAAAAAGGAATTTTAATAATGAGGAAAGCTTCATGGTATGATTATTTAATTGACCATATGAAACTTTAAACTTGCACAAAACCCTATGTCTGTTATTATTTAATAAAATACATCTGACTCGAGAGTATCTAAGGTCGTTCTTTACCTTTGTTTTCTTCTTTGTCCGCTTCTCAGTGTCTGATAATTCACTCTGTTTGTCCTCTTCTTCGTCATCCTCATCGTCATCATCGTCATCTTCATCATCCTCTGCCAGATCTTCGAGGTCACTGCTGAGGGACCCGTCACTCGAGCTGTCTGAGGATGAGCCTGACTCACTGTTGCTTGCCACACCAGTGTCTGTGGGTTTCTTGCGCAGCTTCTGATTTGAGAGCAAAAAAAATGCAAGAATCAGCTTTTCTGTAAAATGGATAACTTTTCCATTTCCTTTGTCACCTCCTTTTTTGAGCAGCAAACTAAATCACAGTACTGACCTTCTCTTTAGTTTTGTGGATGGGCTTTTCCACCAACTCTGCAGGTTTGCTCTGAGGGCTGCTACGGTGACTGTTAGACGGGTTTGAATTTTTGGTTGGCTTGGATGATGCCTGGACAGGAGCTGGACTCGCAGAAAAGCTCCCTGATTGTGTTGTGGGAGGGCAGACCCCGCTGCCATTCACTGCTCCATTCACCCCTGGAAACACCAAGCAGATCTAGCGTATTACTAATCCGCTCCGTCTTTTCTGGGAACTTTGCTACACAGGATAATGAAATATGTGGAACTAACTGCGGCATGGAATAAGGCTAATAAAAGTATTGATTTATACGTGTATCTCATCAAACATGCAGGCTGCGCCAGGGCACAAGCCCAACATGACTGGTTTACATGATAAAAGATAAATTAAAAGATACTGTTAAATTAAAACTGCAAGAAACAAAGATTACAAGGGAAGACGGGGGAAAGAGGGGGAGAGAGAGAGAGACAGAATCACTAAGTGAGGACTGAATGTCATTAAATCTGTCTTGAAAAGGAAAACATCTCAACATAGGACAAAGCAGAAGAAGACACATAGATATAGATTGTTGGAAAGAAGAGACAGAAAATGCCATTACCTCTTAGAAAAGTAATCAATTAATTACAACTACTCTCATGCTATAATGCTGTTAAAATAACCTAATTTCTGCAATGCAACTGTGAGGATCGATGTCTCCTGAGTAGTGCCATACCTTTAGGGGGAGCGTGGCTATTCTTGGTGGGCATCCTGATCTGAACAGGACTGACGATGTGGTTGGGCTGAATGTGAGGGCTGTAGAAAGGAGGGAAGCCGATGAAAGAGGGGAGAAAGGCAGCGGCTCCCCGTCCATGCGCTTCAGCAGCTCGCCACCAATCTGTAGAAGAAAGAGGAGAGGAGAGAAGAGAGTTAAAGAGGCATTCACATTTGATTTAGCCAACCGCTGCCCAAAAATGTAAAAGTCCTCTTCTTACCAGAGAGGGCTCCTAGCTGGGGGTGGGCAGCCAGAGCGGCTGACATGCCCAGGGACCCCAGGCCCCCGAACTCAGGCCGGCCAGCTCCGGCACTGTAGAGGGCCCCGAAAGCTGGGTGGTTGACCAGAGGGAAGGCACTTGACAATGTGGAGCCAAGGAATGGCTGCTCTCCTACTCCGAACATACGGCCTGTGATACAAGCAAACCAAGCAGGACGTCTTCAAATGTTTTCATATCAAATGCATGGCAATTCTTTTTGTATAACAACACCAATGAAACACAAGCAACACATCTAGATATGTTCTCAACGTATGACAATCTCTTCAGTGTTGTGAAAATAGAAAGTTATTTTGCTTGAAGAACTCTGACATTTCAACCTTTCCATCACATTTTCAACCAATGAAAATTAGACCTGCTTCTTTGACAGTAATAGGATTCGCAATTGTTTACACTAAGAGTGTTGGAGTTTTATTGATATAGTCTCACATTTTCTTGTTAGTATTTAATAGCTTTTTGTTGTTTGAAGCTACTGTTTCAGTTTTTCATACTGACTAAACAATCCTATATCTTGGGATTAAAAGATGAATTCCATACAGCAGGTGAGTTTGCTTTGAACTATAGTTTCTAAAAATACTCACGTCTGACTTGTATTATTTGTACATATTTAAAAAATATTTTCTTCAATTAAGTGCAACTATGACATTATTGTGCAGCTGCTATGACAGTTGTTTATTGCACCTTTAACACATTGCCATACTGTTGGTATTGTTTATGTTTATTTATGTAGACCGAAGACATTGTTCTCAAATTACCTTGCAGAGCTCTTTTCATGTAGAACAGACAGGATGTAAAAACTCGATTCTGAAGATGTCGCTTCTAATCCATCTGACTATAGTAGAATTAAATGCAGAGCGACCGTCTTCTATTTATGTAGGAATTAACATCAGGTTCAGCTTTTTAGTGAGTGCACACTGCACCTAATTTTAAAGGGCAACCGTGCTGTTTCTAAAAATGACAGACTGGCTTGTGCTTTGGCAACGGCATGACGCTTATGTCTATACAGTAAAACATTCACATTCAAATGACAGTATTTTCTCAAATCCAATTTCAGCACGTAACTATTTGTTTCTGGATATTCATTCAGTCTACACTGGGTCAGAATGAGCTGCGCTGTAGCAGAGACTAGATTTTGTTGCTGAGAAAAAGAAGTGTGTGTATATGATGTAAAAAGCTAACCTCTTTCTATCCTTTTGGCATTCAATTTCAGCACAGAAGAATACTTCATCAACATCATCATCGTCTAGCATTTTCCTGAGCACAATCATTTCTGGCAGGGGCGACTGCCACGTATTACCTCCTCCCAGAGTCAGATGCAATTTGGTGTGGGCATATTTCATGCAAATTCAATTTCTATTTCAGAAAAGGAGAGCAAGCCTGCTTGATGTCTCCGCATAAGCCAGGTAATACACATGCACAAAAAAGTGATGACTGAAGAAAAGAAAAGTGTTGTGCACAGTGTAGATGGAAATGTCAAACTACTATACACTTGCATACACCACAGAAATGTAAAACAGAGTGACACCGGAGCCCAGTGTTTTCTGAACTAATGCAGTCTGGGATCTAATTATCCAGAGGGAGACTTTACAGGGTGAGGACGGTTATGTATGCCCTGTACCAAAACACAGAGGAAGACCGTTAATGAACACAACTCTGCAGATGCATCTCAGAGACTATTTTTAAATGAGAATCAAACTGTTTGTGGTTATGTGGCGAGAAACAAAACCTTACCAGCAGTGTGACGTATGAGCGTAGAGGCTTTTGTGTTGGCTCCAAGGCCCCCTCGCTGCCACAAGACAGCAAAATGTGCCTTTTGAATGTCATTAGAATATGCTGAATATGTAGAGCCCGCCATTGCCAGCGTCAGCTAGCGGATACGAAGATAAACGACTGCAATGCAACCCCCAGAAAGGCCAGCCACAGCATTCACTTATGCCTGGGGTGCCCACCTCTCCCCCACACACCCCTTTCCTTTCTAGGCATCGGCAAACGCCTTTTCAATATTAATGCGGGCTTCCAGAAGGCGAATAATTAAATCTAAAAAGTTGAAGCGAGAGAGAAGCACAGGAAAGCATACCTAGGATTACCTACTCTCTCTTCCTCACTCTGTGTCTGTCTCTCCCCCCTCGCCCTCGTTCTCATTCTGTTTCAATCCTTCCTCCACTCTGACAAACTGCACCGCCTGCTTTTTTCATGTTTGGAGGCTGCCGAAGGGGGATTAATTTGTTGTTTGTTGCAGTCAATCAAATTTCCACAGACAGATTTAAGTTAATTGCATCCGTGAGTTGATCCCAGAAGAAGAGAGTGCTACAAGCACCGATCAGCCTTTATTCTCCAAGTGATATCCTCATCAATGACACACGTTTTGACACACACACACACACACACACACACACACACACACACACACACACACACACACACACACACACACACACACACACACACACACACACACACACACACACACACACACACACACACCACACACACACACACACACACACACACACACACACACACACACACACACACACACACACACACACACACACACACACACACACACACACACACACACACACAGAGCAGAGAGAGAGAGAGAGAAGAAGCTTGTTTATTTATGTTCTTCAACATTTTTCTCTTACGTGTTATTGGCACGTTGGCAAAGGACCTTGAATCAATGCATTGGCAGCCTGTGATGAAGCTATATCTCTTATTCCTGTTGGTTCCGTAAAACATTTTGAATTATGATACTTGGATCTGAAAAACGAAGGAGATATCCTTAACTCTTCTGGTGTATTTGTATGTGTATAGATATGTTTGTACATATATATGTTTGCGTTACAGCCCACACAACAAACAAGGTATTACAAGGAAAATAATTGTCTTCCTTAATACCTATGGAGCGCATCTGAAGTTCCCAACTAACTGCCTGCCTTCAGCATTTCATTTGACGTTGAGTCCAAAATCGCTTATCTAGAAAATCTGAGCACACGTAATGGCACAGAGGGATAAGAGGGATGTATAATGCATAAGGATGAGATGCTCCTAATGGCTTCTTCTTTGGGGCAACACTGAGGAGATGGAGGACAAAACAAGGGGCTTTATTTTCCTCTCTTATTCTTCCTCTTCTCGTAACAGACTGAAAACACAACAATCATGAAGAATATGCTATTCCCTGCTCAGCGCAATCTTGGTGTATGTGTGTGTATGTCTCTCTGTGTGTGTGTGTGTGTGTGTGTGTAGTAGGCTTATGAAAAAACAGCAAGACATTAAGAAATGAGGAGAAAGAGAGCATGAGCAAATGATTCACTCGCTCTCACAGGGGAGATCTGAAAAGCACACAGAGATACAAACATACACACGATACACACTCCTCTCTGCCTAATGGCTTTGACCAATACATAGAAAAGAGGCTGGAGGCTGGACAGGGCTGACTAGACACTGAGTGGCTGACAAATGTTAAATCATGCAGGCAGAAGGTCTCTCTGTCTCTCTCTCTTTCACACACACACACACACACACACACACACACACACACACACCACACACACACACACACACACCACACACAACACACACACACACACACACACACACACACACACACACACACAACCACACACACACACACAACACACACACACACACACCACACACACACACACACACACACACACACACACACACACACACAACACACACACACGCACACACACGCACACACGCATGCCCAGTGTCGTGCTGAGCCTGACTCTGAGGCAGCTGGAGCCAGAGAGCTGAAGGTTGTCAGGAGACATGGCGAAGCATGTGTGTGTTTCTCACACAAAAGAGCCCCCTAATTGTTTGGGATTCATTAATGCAGCAGCTTTTCAATTGCAACCCAAGCTGTCAGGGAAAACAATCCTTGTAGCCGGGAGAGAGGTGTATTCACACAAAAATAACTGTATAATTAATACTGCAGGAAACTCATTTTCATGGTAAAGAAATCAAGAGGCGTCTGAATGCTATCGAGACATGAAGGTGACCATATTTGGCATGATTTTGTTGTCACAGTTTGCAGTGTGTGCTGGTATTTATTTCCTTTGGAACATGTGGTTTTGGAGAGACAGAAGATTGACAGAGGGAGAAAAAGTGTTTCTTACCAGAGGTGGTGAGGGTGGATCCCAGTGGCGAGGGGCTTGGGGCCAGGCTGCTCTTAGAGTGGGGAGCAGGGGATGATGAAGAGGAGGAGGAGGAGGAAGAGGCCGCAGGGGAGGAGGTGCGAGCAGCAGACAGGGTGGGCGCAGGGGAGGCCAGCCGCTCTCCAGACTCCATATCTGTCAAACACAATCCAATCAGCGGGGTTACAATAGCAAACACACCCAGCCCAACACTGGCAAATACACACACACAAATGCATAGTGTCACACCTACACAACATGTTCTGGCAAGCGCAAGCACACACATCTCCTGACATTTTTCCTTTCACATCTCACTTCCCCTGAACAATATTTCTATTTAGCCATGCTCACTGGCTCCCAGCCTCCATTGATTCTATAAGAGGTAGGACGGAGGATGACGTCTTTAAGAACTGGAACACAAAACAACTTTTACATTTTTTTTTCCATGCAGGAAAATGCCAGTGTAGCAACAAGATATTCACTTCTACAAAGAACTACAACCTAATTCACATTTCAAATTTTGAAGTGAGATGTTAGGAAAGACAACAAATATTTGTCATTCTCTCAGACACACAGAGGGACAACAAACACACACATCTATATTTGACAACCAGGATCCATTTAGTCGTCCTTCATCAAAAATAATGATATCTAAATGTAAGAGCTCTTTGAGGCCTTTAAAGACGGCTTTGTGCCTCGAGTCCTTTCAGTTTCATCTGCATCTAAATGGACTTGATGGGTGCATTAACACTAGCTTTTCATCATCAGTCTCACAAAGTCACTGCGCCAGCCATTATCAACCTACCAATAACATTTGACCATTCTGAATCCAAATATTTTACTTACATTATTCAACTTTAAACCCTTTTTGCTTACAACTGAACAGAATGTTGCTGTGCGCACACAGCTGCCAAATAGTTACACAACAGTTTCATAACACACACATTTGTACACGCATGAACGCAGACTTACACATTTCAACCGCTGCCGCAGAGAGACACACACAAAATCACCTCCCCTGTCTATCACATCAACCTGACAATCTTTTTTCTCTCTTCTCCTTTCCATATCCTTCTGCCTGACACTAATCCAGGACTGAAAATCCCCTTCAAAAGCACAGTTTGCAGATTGTGTTTTACAGGCAGGCTTTGTTATTGTGTCATTACACATAAACAGTCTCTGCCTCCATCTCTCTTTCCTTCCCTCTCTCCTGCCACCCTCCCTCCCTCTCTCTCTCTCCTCTGCAGTGGGAGCAGAGCCACTGATTAAATCTCTGAGACAAAAGCTGCTATCCTCTGAATATCAAGTATCAGCCTTTCGCCAGGAGCAACACTGACAAGAGAGAGGGAGAGTGGGAGAGGGAGAGAGGGAGAGCGAGAGGCGCGGATGACAAGAAAACCTGCTGCAGTCCACGGGGAGGAGGCTGGTGTGCCATCGGACTTGGGCAGCCATGACTGCCGTTGCTGCAGTGAAAAGATGCTGGTTGTGTAATGATGAGCAAGGTCAAAGGTCCTTCGAATGGCCTCTCATGCGAGGTGACAGGATGTGGGTTAAAAGGCCAAATGATCAGCCTGAACGGAGAATAAATGAACGCTACATATTAGCTACAAGAATACATTTCAGGCTGAGTGAAGACAAAGTGTTTTACCCTAATCTTAACCAAAAAGTGTTACCACATTTCGCTGCATGAATGGCTGTCACACTCTGCGCCTTGACTTCGACTGTCACCCTTTAAATGTCAGGTTAGGGTGAATAAAAATGTGGAGAGAAAAAAAGGGATTCTTTCAGCAGATAAAACAAGAGGGGTTTTTTTCTGTGGTTGATCCTGACAAAAAGTATCATTGGAGGTGTGATGAAAATGGAGAGGCGCTGTGGACCCTCATAATTATCATAATGCACATGAAAACAAAAGGCTCGTGTCTCAGAGGACGAGCGAGCTTATGTGGTGTCAGCTGGTAAGTGAAGCGCATCATTCCCTACCTTTTCACAGCGCAGATAGAAAGATTGAAGGAGGGAAAGGATAAGCAAGACAATACACTTTGATTTGGTTGCAGGGCAGAAAAAAAGACGGAATAAAGGAAAAGAGAAGATGAAGGACAGGCTGTAAACCATTCTTGTCGTTTCTCAATATCTGCACTTAATGTCTCGCCTTGTCAAAACGTGATGATGTGAACAGAATTGATTTCCCCCCCCTAACAAACAACAAAAAAGCAATCCCTCCTTTGCAGAGGTGTAAAGCAGAGCTACCCTCCCCCTCATCTCCTCTCATCTCTCACAATCTCTCAAAGGGCCTCTTTCTGGGATGAGAGATTGAGAGAGAAACGACAGCAGGGGGAAAAAAAACGACTGCGAGGCAAGTCCATCTTCCTCCGACAACTACAAACTGATCACTTAGAGCAATTAAATCTAATAACAATAATAAGATTGAGCTGAGCAATGTACAACCAAATGCACAGCCACAACAATGATTGCAACAATAATGGAGCGCCAAGGTATTTAAGGATCCAATCCTGACTTAATTATGAGAAATTAAAATGGATTTAGCATCAGAATTAGCTTGATTTTATAGGTAATTAACGGCACACCACAGTGGCGCTATAAGGCAAGCGTTATAATCTCCGTGAACGGCTAAATCAATTTGACTTGAACAACACCAACCAATCAAAACGGAGCGAAGCAGCCAGAAACAGCAGGTCTCGCAGATGCAAGGAGAGGCAGAATTGATGCTAATGGCTGAACTATGATTTATAAGATGTGTTCCAGAGCTGGATTCAGAGTCACGTCCACAAATACACCACAGCACCCAGCTGTCAGCGCATGCAGCTAATAGTGGCTGGATGCAGCGGCCCTTCAGGAGAGAGTGTAGCTATAAACAGCTCTGCGGGTTTTATGATCGCATGTGGCCTTCATATAGGAGCCTTCACATGTCAGCATCATCTGAAAGGAGGGCAGAATTGTATAAAGAAGAGATAGAGTGTGTGCATTTGGAGGTGGCGTAATGGCCTGTGCTGGCTGCTATGTGGCCTTACTTCTCATGCATATGTTTTGTGGTGTTGTGTGTCTGTGTTGTGTGTCGGTGGCGGTGCATGGTTACACACGCAGCAGTTCTACAAAACCCTGCCAATGCATATGTCTATAGAGGTGTGCATATGTGTCAGAGCCTCAAAGTATTCAACCCCCTGTGTGTGTCTCACTCCTGCCCCTATCCTACTTGCCCCTTACACACACACACACACACACACACACACACACACACACACACACACACACACACACACACACACACACACACACACACACACACACACACACACACACACACACACACACACACACACACACACACACACACACAGACACACACACACACACACACACACACAGAGTAACAGATGGCTGATACTAACTGAGATAATCCGCCAACAGAGTCATCAGCATGGATCAGTGGTAATCAGAGTGTGGACACAATGTCTCTTCTCCAGCCGTAATGGAAGGAGCGCCTGGCGCAAGTGAAGGGAAATGCATTATTCCCCATGATGCCCTGACCCCATTCAAAGACACACGGTAGCTCCCAGCTCTCTTTCTTTTTTCCCCTCACCGCAGCCGACAAAGACTGTATCAGCGCTGCTTCTGCAACATTCACTCTCTCCTCCAGATCTCTCACTCCCCGCCTTTTATTGTGATCCGCAACTGTGTCAAACACAGACCTCCATTTAACTGTGTCCTGCGCCGAGCAGCTAACAAGAGAAATGTCAACATAGTAAGTGTGTCAGAATCAAGGTTGCTGGGGAAAGAGGATCAAAATGACTAATCCAATTTTAGCACTTCTTGTTTAATCAGCATATGGTAGCCTTCTTTGTTTATCTTTTTTTTTCCAAAACAAACATATTGATCTGGTTTTAAATAAAAACTCCAAGCAAATAATCGTCTTTCTGAGGACCAATATCACTTTTTTGGTATCCAGATGCTCCTCTGGTTACCAGGTGTCAAACTGTCAGTCAGTTCTCATAAATGACTCATTACTAAATGGCTGGCACACACACACACACACACACACACACACACACACACACACACACACACACACACACACACACACACACACACACACACACACACACACACACACACACACACACACACACACACACACACACACACACACACACACACACACACACACACACACACACACACACACACACACACACACACACACACACACACACACACACACACACACACACACACACTTGTTGTGTTTGTGAAAGTGAGAGCATTGACACTGACTCTGAATCAGCACGAACATCTCTTATTTCTGACCTTGCATGGCTGTTGCTCAGGCTCACTGTTTGAACTTCCCATCCCTCTTCGTGTTTGTGTGAGTTCATGTGGGTGTGTGCGTGTCTTTCTAGACACGACATGTGCATATGGATGTGAATGTTTGTACTTTGCATGCTTGTTGGCAATGAACACTAACTGAGCGAGATCATCTTGCTTACAGCACAGTGCACGCACAAGCTTGCTTGACCCCTTTCCTCACTCCCTTTTTATCCTTCCCCTCCCTGACACACACCGTCAGCCAGGAAATGACATAACCAGGCGCCTTGGCAAAAATTAAGTGACAACCTTTGTCCAGAGTCAAACATTTAAAGAGACAGTATCATCTGTAATAAATGATATATTACAGATGACACAACTGGTTGCAGAATCTGAAAGGTCAAAACAAAATGTATTTGATTTATTCTTAGGCTGCTGATTGATCATTTGGTCTACTCTACACAATGTCAAAATGGGTGAAAGATCTCCATGAAAGTTGGTTAAGGCCTCAGGTGAGGACATCTAATTGCTACTTATATTTAGCAGATATTTGCTGGTACAACTGATTGCATTGTATTTCTAATAAAAAATGACATTATGTATCGGCTAAATGCTCAAGCTCTATTGGATTCAGGGTGGACAAAACTCTGGAAAAAGCTCTTAGTGGAGTATACTTTAATTCAGGAAATAAAAAATCTTTAATGAATGCAAAGATATTGGCAGAGCTGCATAAGTGTGTTAAACTGGCAGTGGATTGAGGCCTGAAAGGAGTACAAAGAGACAGCATGCCCCAGTGTGGCCTGTCTAGGTGACAACAACTGAGTGACTCAGACCCC